TCAACAGCTGATTGTATTTGGTTCTTTATTATCACTCAGATTTTCGTATGTTGTTTATTAATGATGGGAGACAATGAAACAATAATAATTGCTGACATTTCAGCATAATGTTTTATTAAAATTAAAATATGAATATTGAAACGAACGAAATATCCTTGTTAACAAATTTAAATAGTACTTTATGATTCCTATAGTTAGCAACGAGGTCGTGAATGTCCAATTTGGCTGCCTATTTCTGTCAAATAATACTCATTATGATGAATCATTATTTTTCTTATTTATAATTAGAATTTAAATAGTAGTTTTATATTTTATTTAAGTAGTAAAATTTAAACAATTAAATTTTATTTGCTTTATAAACTGATAATTTGACCCTCCATCTCTATCAGTCTGCCATTTTCTAACTAGTAAAGATATCGGATTGCGGTCTTCAACAGTATGTTAGTATGTTTCTACAACGATTTTGTATCATGTTTGTAAATTTGAGTTTCTCACAATTACTAGTTTTGTACTAGTGCATTTTTAAAGACGACATTGTCACAGATACTAATCACTCGACTTTATCAATCTGTCATTTATAAACTAGTATAGGATGGAATTTCTGTCTTCAACAATCTATATCTACAATCATTTTGTATGATTTCTGTGAATTTGAGTTTCTTAAAATTATTGGTTTTAAACTAGTAAATTTTTACAGACGGCAATGTCACTTCTCTAAAAACTAATAATTCAAATTTATCAACCTGCCATTTTCAAACCAGTAAAGATATCGAATTGCTGTCTTCAACAATGTGTTTCTACAACTATTGTGTATGATTTCTGTAAATATGAGTTTCTTAAAATTACTGGTTTTATACTAGTGCATTTTTAAAAACGGCATTGTCACTAGAAACTAATCATTCAACTTTATCAACCTGTCATTTTCAAACCAAGAAAGATATCGGATTGCTGTCTTCAACAATGTGTTTCACAACTATTTTGTATGATTTCTGTAAATTTGAGTTTCTTAAAATTACTGGTTTTATACTAGTGCATTTTTAAAAACGGCATTGTCACTAGAAACTAATCATTCAACTTTATCAACCTGTCATTTTCAAACCAGTAAAGATATCGGATTGCTGTCTTCAACAATGTGTTTCTACAACTATTTTGTATGATTTCTGTAAATTTGAGTTTCTTAAAATTACTGGTTTTATACTAGTGCATTTTTAAAAACGGCAGTGTCACTAGAAACTAATCAATTAACTTTATCAACCTGTCATTTTCAAACCAGTAAAGATATCGGATTGATGTCTTCAACAATGTGTTTCTACAACTATTGTGTATGATTTCTGTAAATATGAGTTCCTTAAAATTACTGGTTTTATACTAGTGCATTTTTAAAAACGGCATTGTCACTAGAAACTAATCATTCAACTTTATCAACCTGTCATTTTCAAACCAGTAAAGATATCGGATTGCTGTCTTCAACAATCTATTTCTACAACTATTTTGTATGATTTCTGTAAATTTGAGTTTCTTAAAATTACTGGTTTTATACTAGTGCATTTTTAAAAACGGCATTGTCACTAGAAACTAATCATTCAACTTTATTAACCTGCCATTTTCAAACCAGTAAAGAAATCAAATTGCTGTCTTCAACAATCTGTTTCTACAACTATTTTGTATGATTTCTGTAAATTTGAGTTTCTTACAATTACTGGTTTTAAACTAGAGATTTTTAAAGACATTAATGTCACTAGAAACTATTCAGTCGATTTATCAATCTTGTCATTTACAAACCAGTAAAGGTATGGGATTGCTGTCTCCAAGAATCTATTTCGACAATCATTATGTATGATTTCTGTAAATTTGAGATTTTTTAAAATTACTGGTTTTAAATTAGGTGCATTTTTAAAGACGACATTGCCACTAGACATTAATTATTCTACTTTATTAACCTATCATTAATAAACCAGTAAAGATATTGGATTGCTGTTTCCAACAAAAGGTTTCTACAACTATTTTGTATGAATTCTGTAAATTTAAGTTTCTTACAATTACTGGTTTAAAACTAGTACAGTTTTAAAAACGGCATTGTCACTAGAATCTAATCATTCGATTTAATTAACCTGTCATAAATTTTATAAACCAGTAAAGATATCAGATTGCTGTCTTCAACAATCTGTTTTTACAACAATTTTGTATTTCTGTAAAATTAAGTTTCTCAAAATTACTAGTTTTAAACTAGCAGATTTTTAAAGACCGCATTGTCACTTATTCTCTAGAAACTAATAGTCAACTTTATCAATCTGCCATTTTGAAATCAGTAAAGATATCGAATTCTTGACATCATCAATCTGTTTCTAAAACTATTTTGTATGACTTCTGATTTTCGTAAATTTGAGTTTCTTATAGTAATAATAATTTTAAAAGACGCCATTGTCACTTTACAAAAACTAGTAATTCGATTTCAACAACCTGCCATTTTCAAACCAATAAAGATATTGTATTGCTGTTTTCAACAAAAGGTTTTTACAACTATTTTGTAGGATTTCTTTAAATTTGAAATTTTTACAATAACTTGTTTTAACTAGTGTATTTTTGAAAACGGCAGTATCATATCTCTGAAAACTAATAGACTTTATTTGCCAGCCATTTCAAAATATTGGATTACTGTTTCAGCAAAATATTTCTACAATCTTGTATAATTTTTGTAAACTTGAATTTCTTACAATTACTGGTTTTAATAATAATAATACTCTGCCTAACTGACCCCTTTACGAGTGAATTTCAACTGAGTTTGTGTGGGGATGGGACGGATATTATTATTTGCCGTGGTGCTGCGGGGCGACTTAAAAATGACTGATGGTGCCATTTAACTTACCTACAGGTGAGCAAAACCTTAACAACCATTATAAATTTGTGTGTCTTACAATAACTGATTTTAAAATAGTGCATTTTAAAAATGGCAATGTCTCTTTTCTAGAAAATAATAATTGACTTTATCAACCTGCCATTTTCAAACCAGTAAAAATATCGGTTTGCTGCCTTCAACAATCTGTTTCTACAACTATTTTGTAACAATTCCGTAAATTTTAATTTCTTACAATTACTGGTTTCAAACTAGTGTATTTTTAGAGACGGCAAAGTCACTTCTCTATAAAATAATAATTCGACAATACCAACCTGCCATTTTTAAACCAGTAAAGAAATCAGATTACTGTCTTCAATAAGGTGTTTCTACAACTATTTTGTGTGATTTCTGTAAATTTGAGTTTCTTACAATTATTGGCCAAAAACTGGTGCATTTTAATAACGGCGTTGTCACTAGAAACTAATCATTCGATTTTATCAACCAATCATTTATAAATCAGTAAAGGTATGGGGTTGCTGTCCTCAACAGTCTATTTTTATATTCGACTTTATTAACCTGTCATTTATAAACAAGTAAAGGATGAGATTGCTGTCTTCAACAAACTGTATTTACAACCATTTCATATGATTTCTGAAAATTTAAGTTCCTTAAAATTACTGGTTTTAAACTAGATTTTTATAATTCAAATTATTTATTAACCTGCCATTTTCAAACTAGTAAAGATATCGGATTGCTGTCTTCAACAATGTGTTTCTGCAACCATTTTTTATAATTTCTGTAAATTTGAGTTTTTTAAACTTACTATTTTTAAACTAGTACGTTTTTAAAGACGACGTTATCACTAGAAACTAATCATTCGACTATATGAACCAGTCATTTATAAACCAGTAAAGGTATGGGATTGCTGTCCTCAACGGTCTGTTTTTACAACCATTTTGTATGAATTCTATAAATTAAAATTTTTTAAAATCACTGGTTTTAAACTGGTGAATTTTTAAAGAAACATTGTCACTAGTTATTAGTCATTCGACTTTATCAATCTATCATTTGTAAACCAGTAAAGATATCGGATTGCTATCTTCAACAAAAGGTTTCTACAACTATTTTGTATGATTTCTGTAAATTTGAATTTCTAACAATTACTGGTTTTAAACTAGTACATTTCTAAAGACGGCATTGTCACTAGATACTAATCATTCAACTTTATTAACCTGCCATTTTCAAACCAGTAAAGATATCAAATTGCTGTCTTCAACAATCTGTATCTACAACTATTTCATATGATTTCTGTAAATTTAAGTTTGTTAAAATTACTGGTTTAAAACTAGATTTTTATAATTCAGATTTATCAACCTGCCATTTTCAAATCGGATTGCTGTCTTCAACAATGTGTTTCTACAACCATTTTGTATCATTTTTGTAAATTTGAGTTTTTTAAAATTACTGGTTTTAAACTGGTGAATTTTTAAACACGACATTCACCAGTTATTATACATTCGACTTTATCAACTTGTCATTTGTAAACCAGTCAAGATATCGGATTGCTATCTCCAACAAAAGGTTTCTACAACTATTTTGTATGATTTCTGTAAATTTAAGTTTCTTACAAATACTGGTTTCAAACTAGTACATTTTTAAAGATGGCATTGTCACTAGAAACTAATCATTCGAATTTATGAACCAGTCATTTATAAACCAGTAACGGTATGGGATTGCTGTCTTCAGCAATCTATTTCTACAACCATAGATATCACATTGCTGTCTTTAATAGTCTGTTTCTACAACTATATTGAATGATTTCAGTAAATTTGAGTTCCTTATAATAACCGATTTTAAATTAATGTAGCTTTAAATATGACAGTGTCTTGTCTCTGGAAACTAATTATTTGACTTCATCAGTCTGTCATTTTCAAACCAGTAAAGTTATCCAATTGCTGTCTTCAACAAAATATTTCTTACAACTCTTTTGTACGATTTATATCAATTTCAATAACTGGTTATAAACTAGTGAAATTTTAAAAATGACAGCGTCGTTTCTCTGGAATTCAATAATTTGTTTTGGAACCTGTAAGTAGGGAAGATAGGAGCAAATAACAGCAACATACAGAAAAAAATATATTTTACAAATATACATATAAACAACAATCACATATCGATATTCACTTAAATAAAAAATTAAGTGTTCTACTTTTATTCGTAGAAAATTGCACTTTAATATCATTAATAAATAATTTAGACTATATATACACAAAGCAACACATTATACAAGGCGTTATCGAACCAAAGGAACCGAGTACTCGTACTGTCAAATTAAAGTACTAATAACTAAACATTGACATCAGTACTACTGGAGATTTTCAACGGTATTACGTCAAACAGTGTAACTACGGACAAACTATACCTAATTTGATATAACGATTATCCCTTAGTTCGAAAACACTCAGTATATCCATCAACCTATATTGTCGTCAATAAATAGATTATAACGGCACTTCGGTACACATTCATTGATTTTTCCCCAGATCTGGGGAAATTCGTAGACCTAGCACCCCGCACCGCATGAAGTTGGATAAATTTTGTTTAGCTATTTTTTTTAAACGAAATGTTGATAATTTATTTTTATTGCTTATATTTAAAAAAAATTCAAAGAATTATTTTTAAACACGGAGAAGAGGTGCTGCCATTTAATGATAAGTTTTCGGGTAATTATTAAGCGTACTTACTACTCATTCATGCGGTACAGTGTTGACAGATCTACTATTCACATTTCCCCAGATCTGGGGAAAAATAAATAAGTGTAACAGTGCCGCTATATCTACCGAAATAGATAAAAAATCATTCGTTTCTAATAATCTTTCTATATTGTCGCCAATAAATAGATAAAGTGACACTTCGTACACATTCATTGATATTTACCCAGATCTGGGGTAATTTGTAGAGTAGATCTGGCAAACCCGCACCGCATGAATTCGGATAAATTTTGTTTCGCTATTTTTTTTTCCAAAACGAAACGTTGATAATTTATCTTAATTCATATTTTTTGACATATTTTTCATAGAATTATTCTTTTTAAACACGAAGAGGTGTTGCCATTTAATGACAACTTTTCGGGTAATTATTAGACGTACTTACTACTCATTCATGCCGTGCGATGTTGATAGATCTATAATACAAATTTCCCCAGATCTGGGGAAAAATCAATAAGTGTATAAAAGTGCCGCTCTATCTACCGAAATAGATAAAAAAATCGTTACTTTCTAATAATCAGTCTATATTGTCGCCAATAAACAGATAGGGCGGCACTTCGGTACGCATTCTATGATTTTTCTGTAGATCTAGGGAAATTTGCAGAGTAAATCTGGCAAAGCCGCACCGCATGAATTTGGATAAATTTTGTTTCACTATTTTTTTTTTCAAAATGAAACATTAATTTATCTTAATTCATATTTTTTAACATACTTTTCATAGAATTATTCTTTTTAAACACGAAAAAGAGGTGTTTCCATTTAATGACAAGTTTTCGGGCAATTATTAGGCGTACTTACTACTCATTCATGCCGTGCGGTGTTGACAGATCTATTATACAAATTTCCCCAGATCTGGGGAAAAATTAATAAAAGTGTAGCTCTATCTACCGAAATAGATAAAAAATCGTTCCTTTCTAATAATCAGTCTATATTGTCGCCAATAAACAGATAGAGCGGCTCTTCGGTACACATTCTATGATTTTTCCCCAGATCTGGGGAAATTTGTAGAGTAGACCTGGCAATTCCGCACCGCATAAATTTGGATAAATATTATTTCGCTACTATTTTTTTTTCAAAACCTACAAAGGGATTTAGTATCCCATGTAACCTCAAAACAACGGGTTTATAGTTTATCTTTTTTCCTCATTTTTTCATAGAAAAGCGGTGTTACCATTTAATGACATATTTCCAGGTAATTATTACTTACTATCGATTCATGCAGTGCGGTGTTGACAGATCTACTTTACAAATTTCCCCAGATCTGGGGAAAAATCAATAAAAGTGTCCCGGAGTGCAGCTCTATCTACCGAAATAGATAAAAAACCGTTCCTCCCTAATAATTAATACAAAAACAGGGTCGTAAGTTGAAATATTTTGCTAGGTGATCACTGTATATTTAAATTCGATTTAAGGTTATAAAAAATACGCGTCGTTTAGAAAAAACGATCGGTGATATGATAAAAGATACCATCAATTCCATAGTTGTTTAATAATATGTACAGTAAATACAGAATATGTCGTTAGTGGGGTTAAGTTTGTCCTATTAACAACTAAATGAATTATTCCTCAATCCGTTTGTCAAATAAGGTTCTAACACTGATTTTTCGGACTAGAAAGTATACTGGGTTCTTCGAGGGAAATGATAAAAGATGGCGGCGAATCAGAAGATTCTGCTACAAAATACCACACTTTAAACCTCAAATTACAAACAAAAATATTGGGCAAAACTTTCAACTGACAGTTGACAGATTTTCGATTCTGACAGCGGCGCGTCAAATTAAAATGGAGATCCAGAATTTTCAGTTAATCACAAAATATCTAGTATAAAAGTGAAAATCCGACTTTTAAAATTATATTAAATCATTCAGTAACAAATGTGTAATATTTTAAGTTAAATACAAAGTAAAATGGAACAAAGTGAAGACAAGGGTAAGAAGAACGAGGATGCGTCATTTTCCATAAAAAAAAATAAAAAAACACGTACGTAACTGGGTAGATGTTATGCTAAAAAAAAGTAGAAAACAGTTGACAGCTCAGATTAACCTAACCTCACTAACATTGAGTTGTACTTAAGACAGTTCGAAACCCGTGTTACAAGTCACGGCGTATCTAAGTTTTTCTCGCAGGGTACTCTTTTTCTGATAGTTGGGCAATTTGAGGAGATTGAAGCACGTCGACGATGTCGGTAGACGGTTTTGCGGATCCTTTTTGCGTATGGTGAAGAATCCACGAAAAACGCTGCCTAAAATGTTAATTAAACGTGTAATTTCTTCTCGACTATTAAAATTTATTAAGGAATTATTGAAACAAAGGCGAAAACCTTGTTAGATTCGAAAAGTATAAATAAAAAAATTATGACCCACGTTGGGCGCCAAAATTTTGTTGTTCCGATAATTGCTTAAAAATATAAAGTTTAAAAATCCTAACATCATTTGAGGTATTTATACAAAAACAGAAGCTAAATGAGTTAACATTAAAAAAAATAAACAAACAATAATAAAACCAGCAACTAAATCTTATAGTTGAATTTATTTTATTAATATAGTAAAGCGATTTCAGCATTAAGCGATCATCAGTGCTTTTTGTAAAGCAAAAGATATCCAATAATAAAACTTGCTAAATCACAATTTCTACTTATTTGTTTAATTATTTTGCTAATTGTTAGATATGAAAAACTAAAAAGAAAAAAATTAAATTGGCCCCACGTTGGACGCCAATACTTTGTTGTTGCTACAATAATTTCATAACAATATAAAGCATAAAAGCCCTAACACAAACACGTTCTCAAAAAAGGACAAAAATAAACAAAACATTGCCTAAATTGATAATTAAAAGTTTAATTTCTTCCCAAAACATTAAAAGACATCTGAATGCCATTTTTTAGAAAATCAAAACGTCAATTTATAAAATAAAAGTCATGTTATTTTTTGTAAAACCTTTAATGTATTTTAATTTGACAGTTTTAAATAAATTAAAGGTTACTTAGAGAAAAGTTCAAGTTTTTTTCTGAGTGAACGTTTAAAAATCTCAGAGGTTATTATTTGAAAATAAAGTCGTTTTAGAAAAGTTCAATATCATATAGAAATTTAAAGTCATTTTAGAAAAGTTCAATGCCATTTTTGAAAAGTTCAAGGTCATTTTAGTAAAATGTGCAAAAACATGACTCACCGATCGTATCTCCGGTATCTTCGTCGTCGCCAACTTCAACACATCTTATAGAAAACGGCGGTTCGAGATGCTGGAAACCCAATAATGGCGGTTTCGAACAGCTCGTAACGAACTAGAAGTAAAAAAATGGACTAGAAGATATGAAAGAAACTTTGCTACTAGAACGACTCGTCTGGAGGCAACTGTGACTCATAACAAATGGTGCCCCACGTTGGGCGCCAATTATGACAGAATTGATGATTAATATTACGATTAATAGTCCAAAATAGATGCAATTCCTTCAAGATGTTGATCTAGCAGTAAAATTTCTTTTGTAACACGAAAACGTTGGAATACCTTTAAAAACATTGCCTTTTCTTCTTCGTTAAAGTCTTTTTCCAGTATATCCCACAGCCAACCGATGACCCGATGTGAATCGTGGAATCCACCGTAATACTGACAATTTTTCCTCAAGTCTTTCAGATCCAGCGGGACGTTATCGCCAGATATCAACCGTTGTAACTGGAAAATACCACATCATAACTAAACAGACGCTGTAAGAAGTAAAAACTTACCTCTGGCGTAGAAAATAGCGTTAACCAATCCGGGTTGATGATCGAGCGAAAACCTTTGATGAAAGCAGAAGTTTGCTCTTTAATTTGAACGTGCATTCGAAAATGCGCCATCAGATGGATGTAGTTTATTCTAAAATTAAACAAAAAAAGGTCTACAAAAAACGATAAACTTCTAATAGATACATGGAAAACCGTGTATGACTCTTCATCACGTTACACAGAAGGAGTGGACAAAACTAAGAGTAAAAGGGGAAATAGAAGAGGAAGGAAGGGAAGATCTGCTTAAAATGGAAAAGCAAAACGATCAAGCCAAAATCTTTGAAAGAGAAAAAGACTGTTTAAACATGGATTGAAATTAATAAAAAAAAAATTGATGAAAATAGAAGAGATGACAAAGAAGAGAGGATGCAGATAATCAAAAAATGGAAAAGAAAATAGAAAAGAAATTGGAAGAATCGATAAGAGAAATAGAAGAAAAAAGAAAGGAAGAAAAAGAAGAGATCAAAGTATTTTTCAATGATAAATCAGTAGAAATAAAGAAATATATAAAGAGGGAATGAATGGAAGAATAATAGAAGCAGAAAAATTGTAAGATGAGAAATTTGAAACTACGGTAGAGAAAGAAAACGTTTTTGAAGAAGAAATAAAGATGGAGGTAGAAAAAATTGAAACGGGAGTGTAAGATGCTACAAAAATAAATGGACACGTTGGAAGAAAAATAGATTAATACAATAATAGGAATAGAAAAAAAAGCAGAAAATAGAATTATAGAAAATAGGAAACAAGAGGAAAAGAAATTGGAAAAAAAGTCAAGAGCTAAAAGAAGATGAAGAAATAAGTAAGAAAATAGCAGAAAGTACAGAAATATATATTGAAAAAATTAATAAAATAAAAGGAAGGAAATAAATAAAATAGGAAAATATAAAGAAAATGGATGTAAAAAGTTAGAAAAAAGAATAGAAGCAAATAAAGAACAAATAAAGAAGTAAATATAGATACAAGAAAAAGAAATAAAGATTAAAATAGAAGAGATAAAAATAGCAGGTGGCCAAAAAAGGAGATGAAAAAAGACAGATTCAAATTATAAAAAGGAAAATAAGTATCATTAAAGAAAATAAAAGAAAACCGAAAATTGAAGAATTAAAAAAAAGTGAGAAATAAACTAATGGAAAGGGAAACAAAAGGCAAGATAAAAAAATAAAATAAAAATGATCATTTTTGAAAAATTAAAGGTCATTAAAAAAGTCTAACGTTACTTTAAATGCCTTTTTAGAAAAGTTCAAGGTAATTTTAGAAAAATTCAAAATCAGTTGGAGAAAGTTGAGTCACTTTTGAAAAGTTTAAAAATGTCATTGTTTTGAAACAGTAAAACTTAAAGGTCATTTTTTAAATAAAGAATATTTTAGAAAAGTTCAAGGTCATTTTAGAAAAATTCAAAATCGTTTTGGGAATCTTGTAATCATTTTTGAAAAATTAAAGGTCATTAAAAAAGTCAAATGTTACTTTCAAGGCCATTTTATAAAAATTCAAGGTAATTTTAGAAAAGTTCGAGGATATTTCAAAAAAGTTAATGGTAATTTTAGAATAATTCAAAATCATTTCAAGACAGTTAAAAGTCACTTTTGAAAAGTTTCAAAATGTCAAAGACCATTGATTTGAAACAGTAAAACATGAATTTTAAAACAGATTTAGGTTATATGTCAGAAAAATTTAAATGGTGAAAGGTCACTTTTTAAATAAACTACTAGGTCATTTTAAAACTAGTTTCTCAAAAAAGTTCAAGAATATTTTAGAAAAGTTTAACGTCACTTTAGAAATATTTAAAATTATTTTAGGAGTCTGTGATCATTTTTGAAAAATTAAAAGTCATTATAAAATAGTCTAAGACCACTTTCAAGGCTATTTTAGAAAAGTTCAAGGTCATTTTAGAAAAGTTCAAGGTCATTTTATAAAAGTTCAAAGGTATCAAAAAGTTCATGGTAATTTAAAAACAATTTCAAGAAAGTTAAAAGCCACTTCTGAAAAGTTTAAAAATGCCAAAGGCCATTGTTTTGAAACAGTAAAACGTGAATTTTAAAACGGATTTAGGTTATATGTCAGAAAAATTTAAATAGTAAAAGGTAATTTTTAAATAAAGTACAAGGTCATTTTAGGAAAGTGTCTGTGATCCTTTTTGAAAAATTAAAGGTCATTTTAAAAAGTCCAAGGTCGCTTTTAAGACTATTTTAGAAAGTTCAAGGTCATTTTAGAAAATTTCAAGGCCATTTCAAAAAGTTCATGGCCAGTTTAGAACAGTTCAAGATAATTTTAAGAAAGTAGAAGTTCACTTTTGAAAAGTTAAAAAATATCAAAGGTCATCAATTGAAAAGTAAGTTACTTTGCGAAATTGATCATTTTAGAAAAGTAATAGCATATTATAGAAATTTAAGGTAATTTTAGAGTAGTTCAATGCCATTTTTGAAAAGTTAAAGGTCATTTTAGTAAAGTTTGCAGCAATTTTAGTATAGTTCCTACTAGCAGTTAGTACAGGAATTTGAGAAAAGAGACAAAGGTAATAACATTATTAAAAAAGTTGGAAGGTCATTGTTTTGAAACAGCAAACCATGAATTTTAAAAATATTTAAAATTATATTTCAGAAAAATTCAACCAGTAAAAAGCGATTTTTTTTAACAAAGTACAAGATCATTTCGCAACTCGTTACTCAAGATTATTTTAGAAAAGTTAAATGTCACTTTAGAAAATTAAAAATCATTTTAGGATCATTTTTGGATAATTAAAGGTTATTTTAAAAAACCAACGTTACTTTCAGGCCATTTCAGAAAAGTTCAAGGTAATTTTATAACAGTTCAAGGCCATTTTAGAAAAGTTCAAGGTCATTTTAGAAAAGCCCAAGGCCATTTTAGAAAAGTTCAAGGCCATTTTAGAAAAGTTTAAGGCCATTTTAGAAAAGTTTAAGGTTATTTAGAAAAGTTAAAGGCCATTTAAAAACAGTTTATGATTATTTTAGAACAATTGAAGATAATTTTAAGAAGTTGAAGGTCACTTTAGAAAATGTAAGATTCTTATGGATTTAATTGTTCCATTAGTTAGTGGATTTTTTAATATTCATCATGAAATCCATCCTAACAATCTAAACTTCTTACCATTTAAAATTAATTAAAATTTTCCAAATTCAATTGAAACGAATAGTTGAAAGAGGGGCAGGTAATTGGGGGTTAATTAAGTTTGTATGGTAAGGTTTAGGTCAGTTAGATGATTAAGATTAGTTAGATCGTTTAGATTAGTTAGATGCTTAATTAACTTACTTATTCTCGTTGGTAACTTGCACTGCTTTCCCACCAGGTACCAATTCGTGCGTCACGATCTTTCCCATGCTGTCTTCGTCGACGCTGAACGTCAAATCTAAATCAGACACGTCGCCTTCGTAGTGCTTGACGTAGCTCAAGCTGCGGTACAACGCCGGATCCAGAGAAGGCAGCTCGTCCACGCAGCTGTATAGTACTTGGGCCGTTTGGCCTGATACTTGGCTCAAGAAGAACGAGGCGAACGGTACGTCCACTACGATTCCCTCGTAGACCGCTTTGCCTGGAAAATTGTATGAGAAAGTGTGTATGACTTAAATCAGGCATGCTTTGTATAATATCCTTCTTCTAGAGGGCTGGCTCACAAGCTAGGAGGTGTCTATCATCTTAGGAGGATGCACAATGAATCTAGTGAGGCCTAAATACCGTGGAGTAACCAACCCTCCACACGTTACAGATACAGACGTGATTCGAGGTTATTTTTTGAAAACACAAGGTCCTTTTTTGAAAAACCTCTAGTGTATTTTACTTTCCTATTTTAGGAAAGTTTAGTCATCCAGAGAATAGTTCAAAGTCATCTAGAGTAAAATTCAAGGTCATCTAAAGAAAAATTCATGGTTTTTTCTAAAAGATCGTTAAGAATGTGAAAGTCATTTCAGTTTATGTAGATTTTCAAGAAAGTCCAAGGCCATTTTAGAAAAGTCCAAATGAAAAATACTTGATTTGTAAACAGTTCAACATTATTTTTTAGCATATTCGGTTTTAGAAAAGTCCAAGATAATTATATTTTAAACCTTAGGTAAAAAAAGTTGCAAGGCCCTTTTTGAGAAAACGTCAATTTTAAAATGATTCAAGGTTATATCAAAGAGAAAAGTTTAAGATTGTTTAAATAGTAATAAAGTTCAAGGTCATTTATAAAATGTTTAAGATAATTTTAAAATAACAATTTTAGGGGTAAATTCAAGGTAATCTTGAACAAGTTGAAGGTTATTTTTTTCTGAAAGAGCATTTTAAAATGTTGCAGGTAATCATTTGAAAAGTATAAAAGTATTTTACAAATTGTTCATTTTAGAGAAGTTAAAATAATTTTTGAAAAGTACAAGGTAGTTTTAATAAAGTTTTCAACAATTTTAGGATATTTCCTCCTAGCGATTATGGTACAGGAGAGTAAAGTCAAAGATTATTTTTCGAACAAGTTGAAGGCTACTTTTTGAAACAGTAAACCATTAATTTTAATTATTACTCATGGTTTTATTACAGAAAAGTTTAAAGAGTAAAAGGCCATTTTTTTAAATAAGCTAAAGATCATTTACATTTATCATTTAAGGTTATTTTTGAAAAGTTAAAGGCCCTTTCAGAAAAGTTAAATGTCGTTATAGAAAAGTTCAAAGTCATTTAAAAAATATTATTACAGGAATTAAAATCGTTTTGAGAAATATTTAAGGTCATTTTTTCAAAAAAGGCTATTGATTTGAAATAGAAAAACGTGAATTGTAAAATGATTCAAGGTTATATTTCAAAAAAGTTTAAAATCAATCAATAGTATTTTTTTAAATAAAGTACAAGGTAATTTTAAAATTAGTTACTCAAACAAGTTTAAAGCCATTTTAAAAAAGTTCAAGGTCATTAAAAAAGTTCAAGGTTATTTTGGCAACTTTGGAATAAATTTACGATAATTGCCATTAGAAGCAATGGTAGAAGAATTAGAAAAAATCAAAGATCAATTTTATCAAAAGTTAAAGGTCATAATTTTGAAATAGTAAAATGTAAATTTAAAGTGATCTAAGGTTGTATTTCAGAAAAGTTTAAGTTAAAGGTAATGTTTCAAACATCTTTAAAAAACGTTGAAACAGTAAATCGTGAATTTTAAAATTATTTAATGTTGTATTCCAGAAAAGTTTAAATAGTAAAAGGCCATGTTTTAAATAAAGTAAAAGGTCATTTTGAAAAGGTAAAGCTTAAGCTTAAAGTTTAAGAAAAAAAGTAATATTAGTCACTTTAAAAAAAATTAAGGTAATTTTATAACAGTTCAAGGCCATCTAGAGAAAAGTCTAACGCCATTTTCTGGAAAATATTTTTAAGACATTCGAAGGCCAAACAAGTTTTAGATTATTTTTTGAAAAGTTCAAGGTTATTTTAGAAAAATTCAAGATCATTTTAGAAAAGTTTAAAACCATTTTTGAAAAGTTAAAGGTCATTTAAGAAAAGTCCAATATCACTCTATAAACATTTAAGGTTATTTTGTAGTTTACAGCAACATTAAAATTTGAACCTATTTAGAGAAAAGTCAAAGGCCATTTTTTCTTAATTTCAAAAAAGTCGATGGCCAAACAAATTTAAGGCCATTTTTAAATGGTTTAAGGTTATTTTTCAAAAGTTAAAGGTAATTTAAGAAAAGTCATAAACAAAGTCATTTTGTAGTTTGCAGCTGTATTAAGAAAATTCAAGACCATCTAATGAAAAGTGCAAGGCAATATTTTCTCAATTGGAATATTGTTAAAGATAGTCGAAGGCCAAAAAAGTTTAAAGCTATTTCTATAAAGTTCAAGGCTATTTTAGAAAAATTCAAGATCGTTTTAGAAAAGTTTTAGATTATTTTTGAAAAGTTAAAGGTTATTTAAGAAAAAAACCAATGGCGCTCTATAAACATTTAAGGTCATTTTGTAGTTTGTATTAATATTAAGGCCAAGAATTGGAAAATCGTTAGATAGTCGAAGACCAATTTAAAATTGGACTTTTTAAGGAATATTTAAGGTACATTTAAATTTTTTTTTTTGGGAAACTAAGATACGATAATTTTTCTACTACTAACCCAACATCCGTCCAACGAAATCAAACAGCTGCAGATGGTTATCTTGAACATGCGATGTGGGCGACGGATATAATCTTTCCTCACTGGTAGCCTTGAAAAGATTTAAAGAGGGATCGAACACTCGCTTAATGCTCTCTTCGAGAAACTCCTTGAAGACGCCGTCTTGGTCGATGCCCGCCTCGTCCAAACCTTGCTCGTTGATGAATCTCACACGGATAACGCCTTTCAGCGATTGGGATGGCAGAAGGGCGAGTTGTCTGTAGCCGTCTTCGACTATACGGTTTCTGGTGAAGAAATTAGATTCAATACCATAAAAAATCCAGCTCTATTCAATTTACCTATGCACAGTGATCAAAGTCGATTGCGGCGACGCGCAAGCGCTCTCCGTCAATCCCAACACAGTCTTCTCGTTGTTAATGTACTTCCTAAACAGCCTAACCCTGTCCTCGTGCGGAATGATATGCGGCATCGTTTGCAAAAGCAATTGAGGCGCCCTACGTCCTTTCTCCAAATCCCCAATGAACGTAGACACTTTGATATCCCTGATCAACCAATGCCCGGCGGGAGTGTAGTTCCTCCTGCAATCCCTGCGGTACAACAGCATTAAGACGGTGTGAAGCGAGTTGAAGAGAGTGTTGCTGTGGATGGTCTTAAAGTCTGGAAGATGAAAATCGAAGACAGGAGAATTATATTAACTTGGTCGTTTGGCAAAACTCACCGAATAGACTTCCCAGAACAGCTTTGTACAAGAAAATGTTCAAAAAGTTCGACATAACAGCGAAATCGGACAGTTTGAAAGGGTTTTGCTGTTCGTACATTTCCATGTCGTCTAATATCCTAAGAATAACCATAATTATGATCAAAATACATGCAGACAATTGTTAAAAATGTTCTTTGAATCCCTGACAATTATAATCAACAATTTGAAACCTAAAAATCTTCTGCAGCTGTTAAAAGATGATATTTAGGGAGTCCATGAGCTGCAACTGAACAAATCTTCTGCAGCTGCAACTAGATGTCATCTAGGGATTCTAACAATACTTAAAGACCTTTAAAATCACCTTGACACAACTGTTTTTTCACAAATAGGAACCAAATAAATATTCTGCAAGCGTGTCAAAATAATTTAGGGTGCAGTAATACCTGGACCCTAAATTGACATCTCAACAATGTTTGTTCACGAATTGACATCAAAAACATCTTCTACAGCTATTAAACAATGATATTTAGGAACTCCACGAGCTTCGCCTCAAAAAATCTTCCGTAGCTTTAAAGACATGTCATCTAGGGACTCTAACAATACGTAGAGACCATTAAAATCAGCTTTACACAACTGTTCTTTCCAAAATAAATATTCTACAAGCGTGTCAAGATAATTTAGGGTCCAGTAAATCCTGGACCCTAAATTGACATCTTGACAATTTTTGTTCATGAGTTGATATCAAAAACATCTTCTACAGCTATTAAATGATGATATTTAGGGAATACAAGCTGCATGTGTAACAAGATGTCATCTAGAGACTCTAACACCTTATAGTCATTTTGACATCACTGGTTCTGGAGATGAGATTTAAGGAAGAATATGGAACTAACAATTATGGTTTGCTGCAAACATAGTCCCTACATATAATTAATTTGGAAACTGATTTTTCTCAAATAGAAACCAAATAAATATTCCGCAAGTTTGTCAAGATAATATTAAAGTGTCCAGAACCCTGAATGACATCTTGATCTCAATAAATGTAGACAATGGTTAAAATATAAGGTCTTTGAATCCCTGATTGTCGTATTGACACTTTTAATCAACGATTTAAATCTGCAGCTGCTTAAAGATGATATTTAGGGACTTCACGAGCTGCAAATCAAAAAATCTTCTGCAGTTGTCATCTAAAGACTCTAACAATATGTAGAGACCCTTATAGACATCTTGACTGCGTTGGTTCTGGAGTTGAGACCTAAGGAAGATTCTGGAACTGACGTTTAGGGTTTGCTGCAAACGTAATCCGTACATATAATTTTGAAACTGATTTTTGTCAAATAGAAACCAAATAAATGATCCGCAAGTTTGTCAAGATAATATTAAAGTGTCCAGAACCCTGAATTACTTCTTGATCTCAATAAATATAGAACATGGTTAAAATATAAGGTCTTTGAATCCCTTATTGTTTTGATACTTTTAATCAACGATTTAAAACAAAACGAAAATTCTGCAGCTGCTAAAAGATAATATTTAGAAACTTCATGAGCTGCAACTCGAAAAATTTTCTACAGCTGTAACGATATGTCATATAGAGATTCTAACAATATGTATAGACCCTTATAGTCATTTTGACTGCGCTGATTCTGGAGATGAGACCTAAGGAAGAGTCTGGAACTGATGTTTAGGGTTTGCTGCAAACGTTGTTCCTACATATAATATTGAAACTGATTTTTCTCGAATAGAAACTAAATAAATATTCCAGAAGTATGTCAAGATAATTAAAGTGTCCAGAACCCTGAATGACATCTTGATCTCAATAAATGCAGACAATGGTTAAAATATAAGGTTTTTGAATCCCTGATTGTTGCATTGACAATTTTAATCAACGATTTGAAACCAAAAACTTGTCTGCAGCTGCTAAAAGATAACATTTAGGGACTCCACGAGCTGTAACTCAACAAATCTGCAGCTAAAACGAAATGTCATCTAGGGATTCTAACAATATCTTTAGACCTCTAAAATCACTGACACAACTGGTTTTTTCTTCAAATAAAAACCAAATTAATATTCTGAAAGCGTGTCAAGAAAATTTGGGGTACAGTAAGTCCTGGACCCTAAATTGACATCTTGACAATGTTTGTTCACGAATTGATATCAAAAACATCTTTTACAAAAATTATACGATGATATTTAGGGACTACAAGCTGCAATTCAATAAATCTTCTGTAGGTGTAATAAGATGTCATCTAAGGACTCCAAAAATATGTAGAGATCCTTAAAGTTATCTTGACTCTGTTGGTTCTGGAGTTGAAACCTAAGGAAGATTCTGGAACTGACGTTTAGGGTTTGCTACAATCGTAGTCTCTACATATCATTTTGAAACTGATAATAGAAACCAAATAAAAATTCTGCAAGCTTGTCAAGATAGTACTAAAGTGTCCAGGACACTAAATGACCCACTTTGTTCAAAGGTTGAGTTTTATCCATCATCTAACATTACCTGTACTTACTCCAAGGTACACAGAAGACCAAAACGTATATTAAAACCAAAAAGGTGACTTACGTGACATAATGGGACATACAATCTGCGAACAGCTGAAGCATCTGAAATTCTGGTGCAGAGCATTTGGTATTGAACGCCAAATGATCCAAAAATGGTTTTATACCGCAATTAGGTCCCAAGGAACAAAGGAACAGCCACAGTTCGTACAGAACCGAATTTTGATAACACAGACCTGCAAGAAGATCATCTTAAGGTATTAAATGAAAGGAGGAATTGAACAAGAAGGTCTGGAGGATATCGGGGAAAAGGAAAAGACTTGAACTAACCTCACCATCACACATTACAATCATTTATTTCTACCTTACCTGTCAGTATGTCCAGCTGAAGCTGCGTCAAAGTATTCAAAGCGGTGTGATACAACGAACAAATCAAAACGATCCTATGTACCTCGGGACTTCCCAAAGCTCTATACGATTTTTGAACGGTACTTTTGTGGCTCTTGCACTCTAAAACTTTTTTGAAAAAATTCGGCCCGCTCAAAGCGTTCTGCGTGGGGCTGAGAAGCTGCGCGGGCGGTTCAGCACCGGCTACCAAGTCCGATAAAGAATTTCCTACGAAGATATAAAACAAATCAGAATCGTTGGATGCATTTTTGGGTGAATGTGTTTACCGAGAAGAATTTGGATGATTTCGGTGTGCCACAAGAAGTGGAGTTGGATTTTGACGTGAGGCATGGCCGCGTGTAAAGATGGATCCATCGGTTGCGCGAACCATCCCAACACCGGGTGCCAATGGGTTAAAGTCGATTGTTTACTAACGACGTAATTTTGACAGCTTTCTAGTAAACTGGTGACTACTACCTATACAGAAAAATATTTTGTAAGGTTGATACTGTCGAATTATGAGCTTTCAGGTATAAAAATACGCCGTTATATACAGGGTGATTCATAAATAACTGTACATACTTTTTACCTTACATAGATGGAGTTGGGGAAGTACAAAATAATTAAAAAAGCATTCTAACAAATTCAAAATATCTTTTGTGTGAAATTTTGACACAAACGTGAATCTTAAAATGGTTTATTTAAAGTTATTTTCAGAAAATAATTATTTAATTCAATAGTAAAAATTCATTTAAAAGTAAAAGACCATATTTTTAGTAAAGTAAAAAATCATTTTAAAACTAGTTTCTCAAAAAAAAGTATAAAGCCACTTTTTAAAAACTTTAAGGTTATTTTGGAAAAATTAAGATCATTTTAGAAACGTTTTAGATCATTTTTGGTAAGTTAAAGATTATTTAAAAAAAGTCCAATGACACTTTATGCAAAATCAAACTCTTTTAGAAAATGTCAGGGTCATTTAGGAAAAATCAAAGGTCATCTTTCAAAATCTTAGAAAAAAGTTCAAGGCCATTGTTTTGTAACAGTAAATCGTGAATTTTAATATTATTCAAGGTTATTTTCATAAAAGTTTAAGATTATTTAAACAGTAAAAGGTCATCTTTTTTAATAAAATACAAGGTCATTTTAAAACTAGTTTCTCAAAAAAGTATAAAGCCATTTTTTTTTAAAGTTCAAGGTTATTTTAGATAAATGCAAGATCATTTCAGAAAAGTTTGGGGCTATTTTTAAAAAGTTGAAGGTCACTTAAGAAAAGTCCAATGACATTTTATAAAAATTCAAGGTCTATTTGTAGTTTACAGCTATATTAGAAAAATTCACAGCAATCTAGAAAAAAGTCAAAGGTGATTTTTCAAACATATTTAAAAAAGTTGAAGGCCATTGTTTTGAAACTGTAAAACGTGAATTTTAGAATAATTCAAGGTTATTTTCAATAAAGTTTAAGATCATTTAAATAGTAAAAGAGCATTTTTAAATAAAATACAAGGGCATTTTAAAACTCAAAAAGGTATAGAACCATTTTTAAAAAGTTCAAGGTTATTATAGAAAAAATAAAGATCATTATAGAAAAGTTTAAGGGCATTTTTGAAAAGTTAAAGGTCATTTAAGGAAAATACAATGACACTTTATAAAAACTCAAGGCCATTTTGCAGTTTGCAGCTATATTAAGAAAATTCAAAGCCATCTAAAGTAAAGTTAAAGGTATTTTTTTAAAAAATTAGAAAAAAGTTGAAGGCCATTGTTTTGAAACAGTAAATCGTAAATTTTAATAATATTTAATGTTATTTTCAAAAAAGTTTCACAAAAAAGAATGAAGCCATTATCTAAAAAGTTTAACGTTATTTTAGAAAAATTTAAGATCATTTTAGAAAAGTTTGAAGCCATTTTTGATAAGTTAAAGGTTATTTAAGAAAAGTCCAATGACATTTATAAAAATTTAAGGTGTTTTAGAAAATGTCAAGGTAATTTTTTAGTTTGCAGCTATATTAGAAAATTCAAAGCCATTTAGAGAAAAGTCAAAGGTCAGCTTTCAAAATCTTGGAAAAAAGTTAAAGGCCATTGTTTTTTAAAACAGTAAAATGTGAATTTAAAATCCAAGGTCGAATTTTAGAAAAGTTTAAGTCAGACGTAATTTTTCAAACATTTTTAAAAAAGTTGTAAACCATTGTTTTGAAACAGTAAATTAAAATTATTCAAGGTTATTTTCAGAAAAGTTCAACATCATTTTTTAATAGTTTCACAAAAAAGTTTAAGGCAATTTTAAAGATCACTTTAGAAAAGTTTGAAACAAATTTTAGAAAGTCTTTAAAGAAAAGTCCAATGACACCTGACAAAAAAAAATAATTTGTAGGATTCATAATCTAGGGGTTAAAAAATATCGTGCTGTACATGTAGATAGAGAGTTGGAGAAATACAAATTCATCAAAAAAACATATTCAAAACCATAGACATAGGGATTTTATACATTGTGATTAGTGAGTGATATAATTATTGTACTTACTGTAAATGTAGGGAAACACAACTCATTAAGTGTTGTGTGTCGTTCAATGTAAGCCAACTGGATAAGATTAGCTAACAGGCATAGAGCATAACTACCTTCCAAGGTGTTAAATACAATCCTCATCGATTGCTGACTGGACAGCAATTCCAAACTTCTACCGAATATGTTGTGATGACCAAGTGTCACAACAGACTGAAAATAAGTATCATATAAATGTTTATAATAAAATAATAGATGTCCTAAATACATATACTTACTTCTGGCGACAAATTTTGAAGATGCTGCACGATTCCGGGTATCGATAATATGTTTATCAAGAATATTGTCATCAATTTGTCAGAATAATTTGCAGAAATCAACGGTCTGAGTGAAATTGTAAGTATAGCCGATAGAGATACGTTTTTAAAAGCGATTTTTATTCGTCCCAGTCCTCTTAACAGGAGATTCTAATAAAAAAAATAGATTTACAGATTTTTCACAAATTTACCTGCGCTATATTATAACTGTTGTAAGTATCTTTATTGTTCAGACAAAATATTACAGAAAACTTCGATTAACAATTTTTCGATACATTTTCTTGGGCTATAACTTTTCACATGACAGTTATAATTCAGGAAAAACACATTGCCAGTATTTGAAGTTTTAAATTTTTTTAAAAATGTACCAGAGCTATAACATATCAATGCAATATTTGACAGAAAACTATGTTTGAGAATTTTTCAATAGCATTTCCTAGGCTATACCTTTTTTACTTTGGAAAAGTGGCAATATTTAAGGTTTTACATTTTTCAAAATAATTTTCCGGGGCTATACCTTTTCATTGTATTGTTTTATATTCCAGAAATAAATTACTTTCTTTTGGAAAAGTTGCAACTTGTGACAAAAAACACCTTTTGAAGATTTTTCAATAAATGTTCCTGTGTTATACCTTTTTTTACTAAAAATTTATAGTTCAAATGAATTATTTTCTTTTTCAAAATTGGCAATATTTGATATTTTATATTTTTCAGAAAATTTTCCTAGACTGGTCCATGTATCGTTTTATATTTCAGGAAAACTAATTTCTTTTTCCCTGGGCTATATCTTTTCAATGGGCAGCTTAGTCAGGCAAAATCTTTTTTTTAACTTGACAATATTTAATGTTTTACATTTTCAACAAATTTTCCTGGACTATATCATGACAGTTTCGTTTTAAGTATATTCCAGAAAAAACTATTTTTTTGAAAAATTAGCTAATTTGACAGAAAACTTCGTAAGAAAAGTTTTCCTGAGCTATATATTTTCCCTGGACAGTTATAGTTCAGTCAAATTCTCCTTTTTTGGAAAATTTACAATAATTGACAGAAAACGCTTTGTAGGTTAGAAAATAAAACTATATTTTTAGAAAAGTTACAATACTTGACAAAAAAGTTGGATTTACAATTTTTAAACAAATTTTTCTGGGCTATAACTCTTCACTGAGCCGTAATAGTTCAGGAAAAACAATGTATTCTTTGGAAAAGTGTCGATATTTGACGTTTAACATTTTTTAACAATTTTTCCTAGGCTATAACTTATCAATGTATCGTTTTATTATTCAGGAAAAAATGCAACATTTGACAGAAAATTCCGATAGTCAATTATTCAATAGATTATCCTGGTGTACCTTTTTTACAGGTCATTTCTAGTTCAGGTAAAATCATTTTTTTTTTTATTTTGAAAATGTGGCATTGTTTGACATATTGCATTAACTAACATATTTTCCTGATTTAAACTTATTAAACCTTATATTTTATGAAAATCTACTTTTTTAGAAAATTGATATACTCGACAGAATAGTTTTATGTATAGTTCAGGCAAAATAATTTAATTTTTGAAAAAATTGCAATAATTGACAGGAAAGTTAATTTTACTTTCAAACAAGTTTTCCTAGGCTATAACTTATCAATGCATCATTTTATTATTCAGGAAAAGATGCAACATGTGACAGAAAACTCCGTTAAACAATTTTTCAATAGATTTTCTTGAGCTGTACCTTTTTACAGGACATTCATAGGTCAGGAAAAATCAATTTTATTTGGAAAATATTTGACATATTAAATTCACTAACATATTTTCCTGATCTTAATTTATCGGTTATAGTTTTATATTTCAGGAAAACCTACTTTCTTAGAGAAAATTGAAATATTTGACAGAAAAGTTAATTTTATAATTTTAAAACAAACTTTCCTGGCCTATAACTGTTCACTGAGTCGTAATATTTAAGGAAAAATCATATATTCTTTGGAAAAGTGGCAATATTTGATGTTTTGCATTTTTTATCTAATTTTCCTAAGCTATAACTTATCAATGTATCATTTTCTTATCTAGAAAAAGTTACAATATTTCACAAAAAACACGGACAGAAAATTTTTCAATGGAATTTTATGGGCTATATCGTTTTTACAGGACATTCATAGTTCGGGAAAAATCACTTTTATTTGGAAAAGCGGAAATATTTGACTAATTACATTCACTAACATATTTTCCTGATCTCAACTTATCAGTTTATAGTTTTATATTTCAGGAAAACCTACTTTATTATAGATAATTGGAATATTTGACAGAATGCTCTGTTTGGTAATTGTTCTATACATTTTTTAGGGTTATAATTTTTACTAATTAGTTTTATGTATAACTCAGGAAAAATAACTTTTGCCAAAGTTGAAATATTTGGGAGAAAAGTTAATTTTACAATTTTAAAACAAACTTTCCTGGGCTAACTCTTCACTGAGTCGTAATAGTTAAGGAAAAGTCATGTATTCTTTGGAAAAGTGGCAATATTTGACATTAACTATTTGACATTAACTAACATATTTTCCTGATCTCATCTTATTGGTGTATAGTTTTAGAAAAACCTATTTTCTTATAGAAAATAGGAATATTTGACAGAAAGCTCTGTTTGGTAATTGTTCTATACATTTTTTAGGGTTATAATTTTTACTATTTAGTTTTATGTATTTATAACTCAGGAAAAGTAACTTTTGCCAAAGTTGAAATATTTGGGAGAAAAGTTAATTTTACAATTTTAAAACAAACTTTCCTGGGCTATAAGTCTTCACTGAGTCGTAATAGTTGAGGAAAAATCATGTATTCTTTGAAAAAATGGCAATATTTGACGTTTTGCATTTTTTAACTAATTTTCCTAGGCTATAACTTATCAATGTATCCTTTTACAGGACATTTATAGTTCGGGAAAAATCACTTTTATTTGGAAAAGTGGCAATATTTGATCTATTACATTCATTAATAAATTTATCAGTGTATTAATTTATATTCCAGGAAAACTTACTCTTTTAGGAAAAATGGATATATTTGACAGAAACTCCGTTTGACCACTTTTATAAATTTTCCAGAGCTACAACTTTCACGGTTTCTTTTTATATACAGAAACAACTTTATTTTTGTGAAATTTGCAATAATTGACAGAAAAGTTAGTTTCCTGGACTGAAAATTTTCACTAAAATGTTATAGTTAAGGAAAATTATGTTTCTGAAAAATTGCTATATTTGACAAAAAGTCCACAAAAGACATTATTACTATTAAAATACTAAATTAAACCAGCAATATTATGACTAAATAATAAAAATGCCAGTAAAAAAAACTACTAAAAAGACAATAATTACCTTCAAAACCAAATAAAATCCTTTATGAAACAGCTGTCCCATCAAGTTAGCACACAACTTATTCATGCCAGGTCTCAAAATCTCCATGTTCTTATTTTTCAAAACCATCCAAGTATTTGTACTAGTAAATGATACCAACACGTGCAGATACAACACGATAGTCTTCATATCACCAGCGAATTCTGGTCTTAGACCATTCAAATATTCGCAACAGATCCATAATATCTCGTTCATGTGTGATATCCATCTCAAAACGCTTTCTTTACCCAAAGCGACCCCCACATAGCTGAATTTGGGACTGTCGCTGTCTAGAGTGGCGATCAAGTATTTGCAAAAGTTCGAGAACCTGTCACTGTCTCTTTCTTTGCGCCATATAAGTAACAGCTTGAGAGATTGATGGAAGATGTCGTTGGCGGGTTTTAATTGCAATTTGAAGATGTTCTCGGGTACCGTTGGAATTGTATTGTCGAATTCTTGTCTATAAGTAATGAAAAAACAATAATAATAAAAAAAATTGGGTGAAGTGTTACTAAATCAAGTCCTATTAAAAGATTTATTCTTGTTAAAAACAATTCATACTAGTCTTAATGAAATTTATTCAGAATCCAAAAGGAATCACAAAATTTTTGTGAATCTTACTAAAAACTGATAGTATCAAAATAAAGTCTAAAAGTCAAACTATCAAAAATATCACTATATACAATGTGTATTATTTTCAAAAGGAAATGATAATAAATAAATAAAAATGAAGTTATGTAACTCCATGTGATCAATAAAAAACTTGCATTTTTATGTCAATTTTTATAAATATAAATAATTAAATGGTAAAATCATCTTTTAAAGTAAAGAAGTAGTGTAAGTTTAATAAAATATGCATAGATTTTTGCTAGTACCTATTCCATTATGGTAAATTAAATTGATTAGTGTTCAATAAAAAAAAACATATGCATAACTGAAAGACAATAATAATATGGTCTATTATAGTATGAGCTATGAAAATTAAATCTTGGCGAATTTCAATATTTCTATGTGATGGTAATGTGGAAATCATGTTATCATGTGTCACATCTATAAGGTATTAACAGAAAAATGTAAATTCAATCATTATAAAGCTTATAGATACAAACTATATCTCTAGATATTACAAAGTTGATGAAAATTGTTCTAAAAATGTCAAAACAATGAAATTATCTAGTGTTTTTGTAGTTAATGACATAAAACTATGTTATACTCTCCTGAGCAGCTTATACAACACTATAATTTTGTTATACATAATTATTTTATCAATTGTGGCCACAAAAATGGTCTAATGGTTAATGTTGATAAAATTGAATGCCTCTATTTTAAAATATAAAATTTAAACTCTAAATATTGTGTTAAAATCCTAGGTTTGAATATGGATAGTTAACTGAAATGGGATCATCATATAGATTCAGTGAGCAATAAATTAAATAAATAGGTATATGTCATCAGTAGAATAGAAAATTCTTTACCATTGGATGCTGTTATAAATATCTAAGATACTTTAGTCATCTCATCTACAAAGTTGTTTTATAGAGCAATGCAGTTGATGATAGAGAATTTATATCTCTAAAACAATAATTATTATGATTTTTAATATAAAACCTTCTGATTCATGTAAACCTATATATTTATAAATTATCAGATATTAACATTTCCTTGTATTTTTATTTATAAATGTTTATCATGTATAATAATTTAGTATATCCATACACAGAACATTTAAATATGGATCAATATATTTAATTGTACAATCACCTTCCAAGTAACTTCAAAACCTTGAATTATTTTTAAATATGCAATTAAAAAAATGCCTATTGAGTAAAATGCTAATATTGGCAAAACAAAACTACTTAAATCTTTATGCCTCACTATTGTTTATATGTATATGTATTTTATACTGTTTAAAATTGATTTATCCAATACTTTTTTTTATAATATCTAATAAATTAATACTATTATCATTATTTAGCTGGTAGCTGCCTTTTTAAAACATTTTTTGTTGTGATTGTTTAATATTTATAGGCAATTTTTTTGGGATCATAAATTGTGACTGGACATAGCTGATATTTCCAGTTATTGTCAGTTAATTTAAGATACCTCAATAATTTATCTTTTAAACTGTGTTTAAAACAAAGGACTATATTTATACGTTAAGTAATTACACTGACATGCATTCTCAGGTAAACCAAGCCTTAAATACCACCTAAAACTGCACTTATTGCAGAAATAAATAAAGATCTTTTAGCTAGTTCATTGTATCTATGATAATTTGTTTTACATTATGTATAAATGGTATTCATTTAAATAAAAATGAAGAAGCAAACAAATATAGTTCATACTTATGATAAAAAGGTATTTATATTTTACTTTTAATTTGAGATTTATAATTACTCAGACAATATTTTAAACTTCTACCAGCTGTACTCTGACAACAACCTGTACCACATTACATTTGTTGTTAAATGGCAAATATTAAAAATTAAACTTATTAACAAGGCAAGACATATTATTCATCTTTACATACTTCCAGGAATTGTTAGTAATACAGTATGATCGCTCTACTTAAACAATTTGCCTACTTTTCAATATAAATCAATCATTTAAATATCGATTTTAATATAAATATATTTACAAAATATTCCTCGTGAAGCGTATTCTGCACAACCATCCTCTAGCGTGAGCTTGAATCAATTTAGCGGCAGCCTCACGTTTTTTTTCCAGAGCCCTTTCTTCTCTGGCTGCTTTGGTCTGCTCCAGAAAACTGCCTTTGGCATTTTCGGTTTTGTGAAACATCTTCGATGCACGTAATTAACGACGATTAAGTTGTCATTTTGGATATATTTAATTATTATCTGTGTTTTTCTACCTTTTTGTTAATAAACATTTACAATTATTCTGAATTTGTTGACATTTCTGACAACTTTGATAAATAATAATAAATTTTGACTTTGATAGTAGTGACAAATGACACTGACATTTACACAATGCTATATAGTTATATAGATTGCTCGTTCATATGTAAATCAGATGGCGAGCGAGTTTCATTGGACGAACTTTTCTCTTTATCTAGTACATGTAATATTTATATTTTCTCTCAATTTTGACTACCCAGTTGTAAAAAAATCATTTACAGAACCGGTTTAGAAATTAGACTCTTCAAATAATAAATATAATTTTGCAAAAGGCTTTATTGACGGTTAGCGATAAAAAATATAGCGACCTGCATAATTAATACTAATTATTATTATCAATATTATTATTCTTTTACAAAACCTTTCTATTGGGATCAGATTGTATTCTAATGATATTTTATAAAACATTAACGTTCAATAATTATTACGCGTCGGGGTCCAGAATTAAAAATGTTTTTAACATTAATGAATTTTGACGTTTTATGACGCAATTATTTGAGCAATGCGAAAATTTACTTATTTTATTTTACGGTACCGACTAATTATCCTTCCTACATGGTACCGACTTACAATATTAACGAGGTAAAATTTAAATTTACATATTGTGCTATTAAAACATTTTGTAGCAATTTTAAAATGCCTGATATAATATTGTGCCTTGAAGTAAAAATAAGGATAATTGTTTTTTTTTAATATTCAAAAATACTTAAATTTATTTCAAAACACATTTAGGCCATGTCGGTAAGCAATCTATATAACTATATGCATCACTGATGTAAAGACCTTATAAAACTAAATGAGTAAGTAAACAAGGTAAACGGTAGTTAACATGTGTTATTATTTTACAATTTCTGAGCAATATGCCAATTTATTTACGAAAAAAATGTCTTAGATATTTCCCTTTATAGAGATTGCCTAATACTTTCGCATATTAAATTAATCTATATGCAAAAAAATTAAACTATATTAAAACATTACCCATCTACATTCACGATAGAATAATAGGAATACAGAGTAAATTCTAGTTACATAAGATCCAAGATCTATGATACGACTGTTGCAGGTTATGTTAAACGTCAAAAGTTTAAAAAGTTAAAAATGCACGTTTTTAAACCTACATTTTAATTTCTTGTACCCTCCAGAGTTATATAGGTAGTTTATAATTAAGTTTTACCTAATAAAAATCAAATAATGTCTGTACAAGTAGTTTCTTTGCCTCAGAAGAGGTATTACAGGCAAAGGGCTCATTCTAATCCAATAGCAGATCATTGCTTTGACTAGTAAGTATTTTTATAATTTTAATCTAACATCGGCTAATATACATTTTTATAGTCCACAAACACCAGACGAGATGGACTGGTCTAAATTCTATCCAGAAAAATTCAAACAAAATCCTGACAGTCCACCACTTGTTGAATTTGCTGATATCGGTTGTGGTTATGGTGGTTTACTCATTACTTTATCACCCATGTTTCCTGATAAATTGATGCTAGGAATGGAAATTAGGGTGAAAGTTTCTGACTATGTAATGGATAGAATAACTGCCTTAAGGTCTCAACACCCCGACAGATATCAAAATATAGCCTGTCTGCGATCCAACGCCATGAAATACCTACCAAACTTTTTTAAAAAAGGACAAGTAAGTAATTTTCTTTTCACGTAAAAAACTTGCAAATAAATCCCAATTTTAGCTAAAGAAAATGTTTTTCCTATACCCCGATCCTCACTTTAAGAGGGCAAAGCACAAGTGGAGGATAATAAATCACAGTCTTTTAGCCGAATATGCTTATGTACTTGCAGAAGGAGGAATTGTATATACTGTAACTGACGTTAAAGATTTACACGAATGGATGGTTAAACATTTCACAGAACATCCATTGTTCCAACGAATTTTAGAAGACGAATTGGTACGAAAATTGATTTTTAGTGAATATATTTGATATATTGATATGACACACTATTTTGACATTTTTATATTAAATATTTTGACATGTGAAATAGTATGTCATTTTATTTTGATGTGTTATTTTGACATTTTCCATGTTATTTTGACATTTTCATGTTATTTTGATATTTTCCTTGTTATTTTGATATTTTCCGTTATTTTGACGTTTGATGTATTATATTGTCATTTGACCTGTTATTTTGACGTTTTCTGAGTTATTTTGACGTTTGACGTGTTATATTGACGTTTGAAATGCGATTTTGACGTTTATATGGGCGTTTTGATAGTTTTACTTTCAATAATGTATTTTTTCTGCAGGAAAATGATCCGGTCATTGAAAAGCTATACAGTAGTAGTGAAGAGGGACAAAAAGTTACCAGAAACAATGGAGACAAATTTTTGGCAGTGTTTCGAAGAATAAAAGATCCTTTTTGTAATGATTAAATAAGTTTAATATATTTTTGTTGTTTTATTACCAATGGATATTGACAATAGGATTGCTAATATGTTTACAGTTTACAGAGAAATGGATAATATTTTTTTAGTAGATCTGATATATTACTGTCTTGTGTATATTGAACATTTTTTTATTTATTTTTTCATTATAATTTTTCATCTAGATAATTTATCTCTGCATAGAAATGTAGATATTAAGTAAAAAATCAGATGTGTCCAAGACATGACTTTCCTGTCTGGTTATTACAGACTTTTTCGGTTATTTGTATCACCCCTGTAAATATTTATTGCCAGCGAAAATACCAAAAAATTTCATTTTTATACATTTCCTCAAATTTATCCATTACAGTCCATTTTAGAGAAATCATATATAGACTAAAAATTATAGAGAATTATATCTCAAACTTTTATTTGAACAATTTTCTTAAAAATTTGATTTTTTTACTTTTTGTCAATTTTCTCGAATACGGACCATTTTAGGAAAATTTTGTATAGGACAAACATTACAGACAATAATATTGCAAGCAACTTTTACTTAAAGAATTTTCTTCTACAAGCCTAAATAAAAGATATATTCCATAAAATAGAAAAACGACCCCATATAAAGTAACCCCTAGATGTTCCGACTATGCCCAAAATCCTAATCAATTCACCGCAGGCCGAAATAAAGCTTAAGTTTACAATTTTGTGTTTTTCTCTGATTCCGTTCATGAGTTATCAAGTATACAGACACCAATATCATCGCGAAAATAGTCAAAACGGATTCAGGGGGCCCTAAAACGTAAAAATCCATCAAAAACTCGAGGTCGAAAAAAAATCATGATTCCTATACTTTCCTTATATCTGTATACAGATAGGAAAGTAAAAACAGAGCTGAACATGAACATAATCGCTGAACAAAGCCAAGCCTGGAATTTGTTTACAGTGCTTTAGGGCAATGGGCAATATCTCCTTGTCATTTACGTGTGTAAGAGTGGAAGGTTGAATCAAGCATAATTTCTACACTCGTGATGGATGCGCAGACGGTACTTTATCATTCTACCCTCTCTACTTTGGATCTTATTAGGCAATACAATGTTCTGTCAGAATGGACAAAAATGGCCGATGATAGCGAAAACAACAAAGTTGTTAACCTGACCTTTTCATTAGTATTTGACTGTTATTGTAAATCATACAAAATTAGTATTCATATATATTCAAAATAAATATTAAATTCTGCCATTTTTACTTTCCTATCTGTATACAGATATAAGGAAAGTATAGGAATCATGATTTTTTTCGACCTCGAGTTTTCGACGGATTTTTATGTTTTGAGGTCCCCTGAATCCGTTTTGACTATTTTCGCGATGATGTCTGTGTGTCGTGTCTGTGTGTGTGTGTCTGTGTGTCGCATAACTCATGAACCGATACACAGAAAAACACCAAATTTTAAACTTAAGCTTTGTTCCAGTGTCCAATGAGATGATTAGATTTTGGGCAGAGTCGGAACATCTGGGGGGGTACTTTATTGGTGGTCATTTTTATATTTTATGGAATATATTTGTTATTTACGTTTGGGGAAGAAAATTCTTCAAATAAAAGTTACTTCTTATATTATCTAAAATTTTTGTACCACACAAAATTTTCCTAAAATGGTCCGTATTCGAGAAATTTGACAAAATGTAAAAAAATATTTTTTTTATAAAAATTGTTCAAACAAAAGTTGTTTGTAATATAATTCTCTATAATTTTTATCCTATACATAATTTCTCTAAAATATACCGTATTCGAGATATTTGAGAAAATGTGTAAATTTCGAAATTTGAAGAAAACTCAAAAACGGATAAAGAAAAAAACATTAAAATTTAAACTTAAGTTTTATTTCTGCCTGACGTGAAATGATTAGATTTTGGACAAAGTCAAAATTTCCTGAAATGGTCCGTATTCGAGAAATTTGACAAAATGTGTAAAATTCTGATTTTTATGAAAATTGTTGAACTAAAAGTTGTTTGCGATGTCGATCTCTATAATTTTTGTTTATACATGATTTTTCTAAAATGGACCGTAATGGAAAAATTGGAGAAAAAGTGCTAAATTTAAATTTTTCATTATTTTCGTTTTCAGTGAATATCTATAGAAAAATGTTTCGAGGTAGATGTATGTGGAAAATGTATATATTTAGTTTATCCTCTAAACATTTATAGAGGTGCTGCAATAGGTTGTACAAAATAACCGGAAAAAGCCTGTAATAACTAGATAGGAAAGTCATGTGTTGGACACATCAGATTTTTTAACTAATCACACCGAAAAAAATCTAAACGCTCCAAAAAAATAATACAAACTTAGACTAATAACCTCATTAGAAGCACGTACTCTGTTTTGCCAAGAGTCCACCTTTTAAAGTCAGTTAATTTGGATTGTATAATTGGTAAGAAACTAATATGCAGTTTATAAAGTGACAACTTATTTCCCTCTTCGATGAATAAATATTTTATTATGCTATTACCGTGTTTCGAGAGTAATTCAACCCTCTGGTTTATGTGAAAAATTTTTGAATCCAGTCTATCAAAAACAAAAAAAGATTTGGCATAAATTTATTATAAATATATGAAAAAATATATATTAAATTTTCTTAGACGCGCATCCGCACTCCTTCAGCGTACACAAACCCTCTAGCTGCTCCATCGTGGCCTTGATGGCCTTTTCGTCCTTTAGCTGCTCTTCCAGCGGAGTCAATTTAAAGAACCCGTTGATACTGTCTTCAATAAACGATCTAAAAGTATCAGCCAACGTCGGAATCGTCGGACGCGAGAAGAACTTCTTCACTTCCAGTTTCTTAGCCTTCTTCAAGAACTCCGCGCAACAGTCTGTATCGCATAATTTTTCAGCGTCTAGTTTGAGTTGCGTGTAATACGGCGGGTGATTTTCGAAAATGGTTGAAACGATTTGTGGGAATCCAGTGTCGAATACAACATCACTGAAAGTAAGAGATAATAATAAAAGTTTATGATACATAATAGCGGTGTCATCGGGAAAGCTCATAATATTTCCCTGAGTTTATTGAGACATTAAACTATTTGTGTAGACTGTAAATAGCACTGGCCCAAGAACAGTTCCCTGTGGCACTGCAAACGAAACCGTTCTCGGGCCACTACTCTTCCCATCAATACTTAAATATTGCACTCAATTGCTTTATAAATAATAGATGATACTATAAAAGTGATTCACGTGTTTTTAGAACATGTCGAAAGAAACCATATCGTAATAACGGTGTATAAAAATCGTTGGTATGGACCAAAAGTTAAATCAGTCTATTTACGAATATATAGTATTTAAAAACACCAAGCACCAGAAAAATGTCCGAAATTGAAGAACAAGATAATGATCAAGAGGACTCCGATTATGAAATTGAAAAGAAATCGATTTTATAACCATACCTTTTGCCAGACTAACGTAAACAACATTTGTTCAAATGGCACTTACTTACGGATAGTCTGGCAAAAAGGTATCTATATCCCAAGTAGCACAATAAAAACATTTTAGGTTTATTTCAGTTTTAAAATGCTTTTAATGTGGTAAATAAGAAGATACTGTTTTTAAACTTACCTTGTAGATATACTGCGAGCACTTAAAAGCCGTTTAGCATTTAATACTGGTTTTATAGTATCTAATAAGATTCGCTAATAAGGGAAATTAATCTTAAAAGTTTGTATTACTTGTTGTAGTTTTAAAATGGTTTAGTTTCAATTAACTTTAAAACTACTTAGTTTTATGAAGGACTTGCAGGTTATTTGATTTTATTATGTTCTAGATTGTGACGTTTTAATTTTTAAGTAGCTTTAAAGAGATTCTTAATGTAACTAATAAAACCGATTATTAAATCTGCTTGATCTTAGGACAATTTGGTCAGTAAATATTGCGTTTTAAAACTAAACGGCTCTCTTAAATGCAATTAGATAGCTATATTAAAACGGAACGCTCTTAATTAAATCAATTTGGTTATCGTAAAGACTAACTGTACTTCTTGTTAGAAACAATAAAATTAAACTCATCCCCTATTTAATGAACCCCGCATTCTGTATCATGTCAAACAAGGGGTGTACCTACAATAATTAGAAAAACTGAAAACAATATATTATTATTATTATTATTATTATTATTATTATTATTATTATTATTATTATTATTAATATAAAAATACACAAAACACAAACGACTGATATGACACCGAGATTTTAAAGTTAGGTTTACATTAAAACCGAGCGGCATTTATCACAGCCGCATTAAAACTAAACCGTTTAAATCACAATCGAACCTTTCTTTTGTCTAGGGTATGTGCTCTTGGAACAGTACAAAACTCGATTAAATAAAACCCTTTGATCTTAACGTTTCCTTGTCCATTAACTAAACGGTTTTATTTAATTTCCGGCCATTTTACTTTCTCGAGATGGTGGAAGCCATGATGGATAAAAATATTTAGGCTTACATATAAACGTAGTTAACCACTTAAACGTATAATTTCGATTTCTTTTAATACGGAAAAATCTAAAATAATAGATAAAATTATTTTTCTTTCTAATATAGGTTTTTCAATTTTGTTTTTTTGGATTATAAAACTTTTAAGTCGGGTGCGCAGTATACATTTCTAGCCTGACATTCCGAAATCACTTACTTTTTATTATTTTATAGTTCATAGAGCGTCACCATGTCTTCAAATATAAATTGCTTTTATTTGCTAAAAGAATTATGTATATAGTTTTAAAAAACTATTTTCATATGTTAAGAATAAGATAAATTATCTTTAAAAGTATACATGTAACTAACATTCACTTCAAAACCGCGTGTGTTTAAAATGTATTTAAAGTGGTTTTAAAAGGGTCTTCACAGCAGCTTTAAAATCAGTTGTTCAAGGTTTTATGGTGGTTTTTATTTTTGGTTTTATTCACCTCTTTCAAAGTGGGCCCTTTTATGCTGAAGGCGTATCTATTACAACTCCTTTTAAAACTAATTGGTTTTAATTTCAGTTTTAAAGCATCCTTGATGTACTGAATAAAACCGTTCGGTGCTACTTGGGATAGTTAGTAATGACGAGTTTACTATCAACTTTTTAAGAAAAATTACTACTAAATTTTATCTGAAAACCCACAAATTTTCATCGGAATCGCCCCGTTTTACGGTAACGAGTGAAGTACTTACGATATTATTTTTTCGAAAACGTTTTCCACCATATCAGCGTTCATGCTTTGACATTTGGGCTCGTGTGGTTGGTCCGTAGAACACTTTTTTTCTTCGGCGAGGTAAGCCTCTTCGGCACGATCGGCAGCTATACGGCACGGATCCACGCTCAAAGATTCCGGTAAATTAAATTTCAACATGTTGCTGGGATCACTAACGAAGAGGTGCAAGTCTTTCCTATCGACAACGTTCACTTGTACTGTAATTGTCATTACGTAATTTAGACATCTGCTAGAAAGGGTCTGGAAAGAAAAATAAACCATCAATTTAATGACTATCATCGTGCTTCTATATAACAACAAAAAACCTTGGCAGTCTGATTCTAGAAGACAGATAACCTATCCCACCACCATATAGATCATCATTACTGAACAACTCTTTAGATTCAGACCAATAACAAGAAAAGACATATGAAAGGACATTGAATGGGAAGAGCAATCAAAAAACTAGAATGAGGACATCTTGAAAAGGATTGTGGACCTAATATAAGGATAATTATTTTCAAAACTTCTAGGTGGCTTCTGGTTGATTGTGAGTGACGTAACTATTCGAAAACCTGTGTAAAGGAACTCCGCAGGTTTTGAAAATTTGTAAAAGAATTAACGCAGAAACAACTGTAATATCAATTTGATTAGAAAAAGTAAATTTTTGATCGAATATTAAGCATAAATCTTTAATTTGCGCACAAGTTGACAAAGGTAGATCGTTATGAATTATAACTATGGCAGATTTCCAAAAAATAATATATACCACTTCTTACCATTTGCGCCTTATCCTCTCCATTCTTATCATTGCTGTAATTGATCGGATAATGCGAGAATTCGAATTCTTCTTCTTTGCGCTTCTCCATTTCTTCTTGCAGCGCCTGCATCCTCTTATGATTGTACAGCAACTGCAGATCCATTACCGAACAAGCTAGAACGAAACTGGCTAAGATCGTTTGGTTGAAAGATTCTATCAGCACTTTGACCGATCTGGATTTTCCTGGTCGCAATATCCCAACTTTTTCGTGCACAGTGATTCTGATGATGTTTTCTAAATAGAAACTGAAAGTAGAAAAGTAGGCTTGTTTGGAATAGTCGTACGTTTATTAAATAAGTACTTACTCGACCCATTCGTAATAGACCAATCGGGTTTTTGATAGATTTTCAATGAAAATCACTTGTTCTGCATAGTTCCAAATGGGAAGGCATTTAATCATTAATACATCCTTCGAAAATTTAATGGGAAATTTATGCGTTTGCGTGGAAGCTTCCGGCATGCTGGAGTCGAAAAATCTGTTGACTTGCGATCTCATAGTACCGAAACCTTCGATCCAAAGTACTTTTGTTTCGTTGTTTATCGTAATTTGTACAGTAACCTATACCAACATTTAAAACATTATTGATTTATTTCATAAATAATAGCTGGCTCAAAACTGACTCCTGTGGTAGTTCGTTTCATAAAAAGTCACTCTTCTTTAAATAAATTACCTGATACCTCGTCAACTCAATGGGATGGAACTTTACCATCAAAGGCCAAATGCCCTTTGGACTAATAAGTGTGTCGTTGTACACACATTCGAAGATCGTGAACTTGTTCGCTTCATTCAATTGTTTAACATCGCATAGATTTAATTCGATTTTTGCAGCAATGTTGGAGTTGTTGTAGAACCAGAACATATGGGGTTGGTGGCTTCTAGCAGACAATACTCCTAGAAGTCAATCGTCTTTAATAATGTGGATATTGTAGTGAGGTAATGTGAGAACAAAAGTTATGTCATCGACCCCCAAATTTATTTATTACCCACCTTATAACTCATCTAAGAGTAGTGTTCCCCTAAGGACAACATTTAAGGTCCTAGATGATATATTGATCTAAGATTATCAATGTCTTGAACTACTTTGAAGCTGGTTTAAGGTGACCTTGAACGGCTCATTTTGCTCCCCCATTTATTCACTACTTTTGTTTTGTTTTACGATAAATGATGAAAATGGAAAATCAAGTTCGTGTGATAGTTATGACATGTAAAAGAGATACTAACCAGAATACATCTTCAAAAATAAATCGTTTTTGTAAACGCTGATTCTGCTCACGTTTTCTGGTATTCCGAAAATGTTAAAATAAAGGATAAGCTTCCTAGATGGTCTAATATAAATCTCGTAAGCCATGATATTAACGCCTGGTAAATAGTAGAACACATCTATGGTTATCTTCTGACTAGACCTCTTCTACAAGATATGAAAGAAGGTATAAAAGTAAATATACAAAGAATAGCATTATAATATTAATATATTATCAATACTGTAGAATATTATAATTGGTAAAAATACTTGGAAATTGAATACTTATTTATCCTTTTATTCTTATTAAACTTACGTCAACTTTAGTTTGCGTGATCTCCATAAACAACGTCTGTCTATGAATGCAATCCAAGGCGTACTTGATACGGTACTTGCACGGTACTTGTTTGTACCCGCAATTGCACAATTTCAATTTTTTTAACGTTATTTCCGTGTCTAAATCCGTATCGTTTTCTAACAGAAAAGTGACGTAATGACGACTGCCGACCGGACATTCCGGTAAGATTATTTCTAAAGCTTGAGTGTCTTCTGGAAGCATCGAATCGAAGAGTTCATTTATACTGCAAAATAAGACTAGATAATTTGGTATGAGGCTGAAGACCTTTTTGCAGATATTAAGCTTTGAGGTTAAGATACCACAGCTAGTCTATATATTTTCTCCTAAATTAATTAAATCTGCTATTAGCTTAAGATGGCAGGCTAGACAATTTGGTCTCAGAGTAAGACATATTCTAAGTTTTGGGAATGAAGACACTTTTGCAGACCTGCAAATTTGAGGTTAAGATACTTGAGAAAATAGGATTGGAAGGGTCGCTATAGGCATTGAGACATTTCCTTAGTGCAGTGGCGACAGAAGGGGGCACAATAGATCTTTTAGGTCGCAGTGTATTAACACCCCATTATCAACATAACATAACATACTATCTCTATCCTGTAATGGTTAACTGAGTGGTCTATTGGGTCTCATCCAGCCCTTTTGTAAAAGTACCTCCAGCTATATACCTTGTATAGTTGTAAGCTTATATGGTTGTGGAGGAGATGAAGACATTTATAGATCACATTCCGAACAATTGTGAACTGATGAATAGATAAGAATGGAAGGTAAATGATCGGTCCAATGGGATTTCAAATGGAAGACGAAAATGTTACTATAACATTGAATGTCAGATATTTGAATAGAAAGACATGGTGAAACTTTATAAACGTGAAGGTAATACCAAAAAAAAATTAAAAATTGACATATTCTTACGTGTCGACTTTGAGAAATTTCCAGAAATGTTTTTTCGTAAATAACGGTCCGAATGTATGTTCTACTATCTCTTTTATCTACAAAAGAAATAATTTAATTTTTTTTAGTCTTTCGTTTTGAAGGTACCTTTAATATCGACATTTCGCATTTGTAAGAAAATTCTAGTAACGGTACTGCTTCTTTGCCATGCTTTTCACTAGTACCGTCGATTCTGTTGTAGTACTCGATGAACGCTAAATTTCTTCCCAACGTTTTGCATTCTAAAGACAGGTCCATCTTCAAGCTTGCTTTGGGTTCTACCTATATTAACATTATATCAAAACTTTTTAAAAAAATTTAAAAAATTAAAATTGAAGTTTTACCTGACCCATTACGGGACTTATTTTGAATTTGTCCTGGCTTATTACGGCATTGATTTTGAAATATACGACTGATACGCCGAAATTATGTAAGTGGAAAGATGTTTGTATCTTTGTACCGTATTCTACCAATTCGAATTCATCAGTCAGGGGCGTAGCCTGAAATTTTTAATACATTTTTGATGATGAATTTTTAGAAATTTAGGTTAAGAATCTTTTGAAATGTTTGCTGAGGATAAGGCAAGTCGGCTTATGGTGAAATGGGACTGTTTGTCCAATTGATTTTTTTACTGTTAATTTTTGCAAAAAATTTTAAAATCATAACATTTTTGAATAGAGAATAAAGAACCCTTTCAAATGAGATATCACAAATTTGGGGGTTGCAACTGCCACTCGAAGGGTGTTGAAGGTAGTATGCACATTAATAATTGAGCTGCTGAATTTATTCCATTTGGCTGTTACACACAGTATAATTTGTAATTTCCAGGCTTCCTTTTCCTGATATTGTCTCCTTTCTTTTCTATAATTCCTCTTTTATAGTTGATCTTGTTTTCCAAAATTTAAATTCTTTCACTTTATTTTTCTTAGTGTTGTTTTTCTTTCGGTTTATTGCATACTAGTCAGTGATTTTAATATCACTACTAATATCGTCTAATTTCTATTCTTAATTTTCTATTTTTTTTTTATTTCTTGCTTTAAATTATTGCTTACGTTCTTTCTCTTGTCTTTTTATCAGATTCTCTTCCATTTTTTCTGCTTTTTATCCATTTTTCTATCATGGTCCTTTATCCATTAATATTTTCACCATTCTATCTTCTTATTTGTTTCCTAATTCTTCTGCTCCTTGTTTGTCTTTAAAATCTTTTTTGATGGTTCTTCAATCGTAGGTTCTATTTTTATTGTATTTTCCTAATTGTATCCTCTTCTTTATCATTGTCTTTCTGTTCCGCTATATTCGTATTTTCCTCTCTATTTTAAGTTCTTCTTGTTCCTCTAATCATTGTTACCCATGAACACTATTGTTCAAAAAGTCGACAACTGCAACATATCAAACTATCAGGAAATTTCTCCATAAACCGGCTGTCTTTTCATATTATTAAAATTCCTTTACATGTTTTTCTACACTATTTATATACAAGAATCCCCCGTTTACATAAATAATAAATACCTACACTCAACTGCGAATATGTAGATTCCGTGAAAACCGTAAAATAATGTTCAAAATTTAAACCAACAATTTCGTCCACTTTCTGTTGAACATACATGCGAATGAGTATATTAGTCGTCTTGGGAGCACAAGGACTTGCATTGAACGTTATAGTCAATGGTATCTTCTTGTGCATTTGGACAGTACCCTGTGCGGGCTCAACGTATAGGTAATGATGGTCTGGTTGGACGAAATGAAAACTAAAAAAAGAAGAAATTATTTAAACCATTTTCTGCTTGAATTAAATAAACAGCACATATAAGGAATTTTATTCTTCTTAGTCGTTAGAACTTTTGTAGCTTCCGGAGTACCTCGAGGATCGCACTTTGGGACCTCTCTTTTTTCTAATTTTTATTAACCCTAATAATTCAGCAATCTGTATTAGGAAAACAATTGCTGTCTTTTATGTCTATGAAAAATGCCTTTTGCAGTTTATTTTATTAAACATACTGCCTTAATATACATTAACCAACAATAATGAATGGCTTTATGTATTAACTATATCTAGTAATCAAATCAGATCCTTTTATTTTCGGCGCTTTTTCATGACCCTCAAAAAAAAAAACACTTTGCTAATAAAATAAAAGAAGAAGAAAATATTTAGTTCATTTTCTACTTGGATCAAAGCATAATGTTCATCTTCTTAGCCGTTAAAACTGTTACAGCGTTTGGAATACCTCAAGGAACACACTTGGGACCATTGCTTCATCTAATTTTAATTAATAATCTATGCCACGTAAGGAAATGCAAAGGAAGTAACTGGTGTGGATTTGGTGTAATGTTAGAGGTTACTTCCTTACCTCTCCTATACTATTTCATTTTCATTTCAACCAGATTTTTTTAAACGATTTTTTCTTTGTATAAATAATTTAGTAACCTTTTAATAATATCTCCTACATTTATTTTTTTTGTCATAACTCCTCTCCATGAATGTTACTAATCCAATTATTTTTTCAATCGATTTTTTTACAAAAGATTTCTACGATCCATTATTTTTACAATGAATCTCTTTTACAATGGATACTTTTTATAATCGATTTATTTTACAACCAATTCCTTTTTCAATCGATTCATTTTTTTCGCTCTACGCTATAAAATTCCCAAATTTTGTTCCTTACTTTTATCAATGATTAAGGGCCGATTCCACCGTTGTTTAAACGGAGATTAAAATGACATTGTTAATGTAAAAATGTCATTTTAAACTTAGTTTAACACAACGGTGGAATCGGTTCTTAACATACTAACCTGATATTAAAATCGCAAGTGTTATGCAGCATCACACTCTTAGTAGCGACCGTATCAATTTGAATCGATTCAAAATACACTTTATTGTCGTCTTCGATCCTTATCGAGGGCAATTCCGTTCGAGCGATAATTCGAAATTTTATATTTTTCTGATCTTGACCGTTGAGAACGAGATGCCAGGACTCGTCCAATGGTTTGTCGTCCCTGAGACGTCTGATGTTGGCCAAAATGACGACGAAATCTGTGATCATACCCGACATTGGCGTCATTATTACGTGGCTGAAAACGAATCAACTTGGAAATAGGCCTTTTCATAATGTGCAGCCGCCATGTTGAAATAACAGTAATTCAAAAGTTTCGTACGATGAGCCATTGTGAGCAATTAAAAAGGTGGTTAAAGTATCATGGACGTTGACAACAAGGAAAAACAATTTGCTGATTGAAAGGTTAGGTATAACTACTTAATAAAAGCAAATAAATTTTAACATCTTTGTTTACAGAAAACATTTCGAAAAAGTTGGCTGATACTGACGCATGCGTACAAAAAAAAATGTGATGAAAAGGCCTATTGAACCTGAACCCACCATCTTTTGTATACCACTTGAGTTTAGTACTGTAAATTTATAAAAACGTAGAGATTCTAAAGTTCTACTGGAACAAAACGTTTTGTGACTGAAAAGCCATTATCAGTGCATATTAGAATTGTTTTTCTAAAAAAAATTAGTTACTCAACTTAAATAGATTGCCTTCAAAAGGACTATCGTCCAAATTTATTAATATAAAGAAGTCCTTGAATGTGGATTTAGTAAAGAGGAATAAAATGGATACAAAAAATTTAAAATTGTATAAAATTTGACTCATGTTCTTTTGTAAATAACTGATTCAATTTTACTGTTTGGAAACATGTTTTACGAAGATATTAGACAAATACTAAAACCTGGCAAACAATGTTTGAATAAATAAAAAGTCATTTTTTTACACTAGAAGCGAGAATGTAAAAAAAAGTATAAAAGGTAGGTTCTTTTTAATTTTTACCAAGGCAAGGAGAACTATCTCTTTTTACAAAAGTGTCCCTCAAATTATATGAAATTAAAATGACGTTACTGTACCAGAAGGACGCTGAAAGATGTGACAGTCGATAATGCAGATCACACGAATGATGTTTATAGTTATATAGATTGCTCGTCCATATGTAAATAATAATAATATAACACTCTCCCTAATTTACCCCCTTACGAAAGAATTTCAACCGCTGAAGTCGACTGAGCTATTTGTGTAGGAGTAGGGACGGCTATTATTAATATTTGCCGTTAAATAAGAACGTATATATGCTAGAACATCCTAAAAACTAAAAACTACATCGTAAGAAGTAACTGAGCTTATAATCGTAGATAAATTTTGATACCAAACGACATAAACCCGCTTTTCCTAGCATGATTTACGTATAAATGAGCAATCTATATAAGTATATATCATTGGATCTCTTCTAGTACACGAGCGCCATTCTTGTGGTCACTTTTTGAATCCTTATTTACTGCTTTTATGGCACTTTTCGAGATAAACAACATGAGATTGTACTCTTTCCTCTACACTCCATATTTTTACCTTAGACAAGCTGCTACGAGTTTAAACATGACCGGCCTGGAAAGTTTATTAATTATTTTAAAGTTTCGGTAAATATTTTCGCCAGATAATGATAATGGAAATTCTATTTCAGACGGTGAAAACTCTAAATTTCCCAATGGTAATTGACCTTCGCGATAGGAATGGCCTAAAAAGTTAAATAAAATATTGCTTAAAGTATTTTAAATCACATACTTTGATTACTATACGGTGCAAGAGAGAGGTCCGACACGCCCAACATATGGCGCGGCCATTTTGATGCCTTTACCACAGTTTATAGCTAAAGAATCAGTTCTCTCACTCTGCGTCGGCACTTTTGATCTCAATGTTCCAGTTTATACATTGCGCAACTCGGATAATACAATATATGACAACCACTTATAATAAAACAGCAGTCTTCTGCGCATCCTGAATTTGTATCCCTGGAGTGGATGTTATTTTGGAACTTTCAACTGATCCAAGTGAGCTAACTGATTCTTTAGCAATAAACTGTGACTCCAAAAATAATTTTCTGTGATACTGACAGCAGCAAGCAAAATATTAAAAATATTGCGCCAAGATGTAGGCAACACGTAATAAGGCATCAAAATGGCGGAGTTTTCTATCTCCTTTTAAAAGGCACTCAAAAAGCTGCGCAGTGCGACCATTCTCCGTATAGTAAGAGAAAATCAAAGTATGTGATTTTTAATAGACTTCGAGAATAACCTTGTAAATTGATAGACACAGTCAATGGAACAACAATGACATTTTCGTTAGTGGGCAGTGTATCGAGATTGTGGGGTGTCCAGTACACTTGCGCAGTAAACATTCTGTTGTAACATGTTTCAGCGTGCATTGGGTTAAAAAAACACTTGAAAAACGTGCATTCTCCTGGACGTACGGTGGCTTTTCTGGGAAATATGCTAAATACTTTATCTTCTATAAGAAAAATAAATATTAATAAAGTTTGGGCCCATCATGGTCCATTGCAAGCTGATGGTTATTAGAGGTGTCAAAGCTACATTGTCCTTAACATCTTTTGACTGTATATCATTAATCTTACCTTCTATCCAGTTGATCGTAACATCGTTTTCCAAATTATTGGTCAAATTGAAATTTTTAGTAGCTATCGTAGATTTATCGTCATAGAGTTCTTTGACAATAGCTCGACCTAATTCCAAGTAGTGCGTGCTAAGCGTGACAGGGGCAAGCGATCTTCTATCTTCATTTTCCATTCTAAAGCATCCTTTGTAACCGACTTTCTCTTCGAATTGAATGGGATAGTAAATGACAGAAATGGTGTTTGGATTTAAGGCTTTCTTACTGTACACACCGAGGATGTTGATGACGATGGGTTGCTAAATAGACAACTAAATTTAGTTGATGCTCAAACTACTGTTCCCAACATATTGCCGTCATATCTGAAGATTTGGCAATGCAGTAAAGAAATTGTGAGCGAGGATGCTAGAATATGTGTTGGAAATCCGCCTAACATATTATTACATCAGGCTAACCCAGCTCTGAGTACCAACCGTTCAATCAATTGATAATTAAACAATTGATTCTCCATGTTCCGTTCAATTAATTAACAGTACCGAGAACAACAAATTAGGTTCTTTCGTTCGTTCCACTGGTATAGGAATGAAATACACCAAGGCACTCCATACCTTTCGTTTGGCCCGGTGTAAAACCCACTGTACCTTCCTGTTGGCGATGTGGTGTCTACTGGTGGATATTTTCTCCACCAGCTGTTTAGCACGAGTAAATCACACTCGACATGTGTGTAAGGAATAAGGAGGAGGTAAATTAGGGTAAATTATGTGGTGTAACTGGTGTAATTAACACTGATAGACACTGCACCAACAGCGAACGAAAGAACCTATTTAATAGGTCTTTTCCTTTGCATCGACAGTGTAGCACTGAGCTACGTCACTTCTGAAAATATTGTTCCATCCATACAATTTGTATAAATGGAACGATATTTTCAGAAGTGGGGTAGCTCAGTGCTACACTTTTGATGCAAAGGAAAAGACCTAATTATAACTATATCGGTTCTTACACAACCATAAAACAAGCAGTTCAGCTGCTGGGCGTACGTCTCAAATTGGTCTGGGGGGTTAAAATTGATCACAACGAATGTGACCGAAGAGCAAACTCCTTGCAGTGGCGTGACGGCGAACAATTTCTGTTTAGAATCGATTTCCATCGTAAAGGCAGCCGGAATATCCGTATGGTTTCTTAGTTCTATGACCGCCCTGCCGTTTTTATGACGTGGCTCTTGCAGAAAAGTCACGTGGGTGGTAGACGCCGTCACTAAGGGACCTAGAATAACAAAAATAAGATATAAAGGTTACCAGGAGCTATTTTCAAACTCGAGAGACATTAGTCGTTTTATTTTTAGAGGTATACTTGACTAACTATAAATTAAAAATTATATTTTGATCTAAGCTAAGTTGTAAAAAGAACGCGGATTTTAGATGACAGGCGACGTGTCCCATGTAATCCGTTTAAAATCAATCGACATTTTTATCAAATTTTATAATTTATTCCACATTCAACACTATGATCTTGCCTCCTGTTATCTATAAGGATATACATTCTCGTCTACCTGTCGATTCCCCCCACATGGCGATGGTGGTAGAAACATGTACTCCAGTTACTTTAAATTCTTCGTAATTGGACACAAAAGGCATATTTGGTACATAGGTGCATTTCAGCTTTAATTTGGTACCATATCTATGGATCCCACTGGATGGTGTCACATAAAATACGTTTGAATGCATTTGTTGTTCGTTAATTTTTCTCACAACAAAAGTATCTACGACCTAAAAGTCAAAAAAGGTTATCGTTAGCCCAACTTTTTTTTTCATTGTTATAAAAACGCAATTTTGTTGAGCTCTAATTTTTAAAAATAATAAAATACCCCATGAGATCATTTCCGATGATAAGTATAGCCAATCAATAACGTGTCAGCATGTAGATCTGTTGTATAGTCTCTGTGCATTTGTATTTTACATAATTATACGTGTGTGTAGGAAATATATTAATTTTTTACCTTTTCTTCTATTTCTAATTCAATTTCTTTAGTTTTTTTGGCGTTAAAAGGCACTTTTCCAAAATGAACTTCAACGTGTGCATATTTAGAATCTGTCTTTTCGATTTCCAGTGGAGTTTCGGCTGGAACGCAATAGCATTTGGACGTCATCGCCTTTGATCATATATTATTTTCGTAACAAAATAATTATAATTTAATGCTAACGTATTGATTTTTAATTTTCGCTTATAACCAAGGCACATGTGGTACTGTCATTAGGCGACAGTTTGACAGAAGTCCTACAATGATAAGTTTGTTAAATTAACAATATGTTTTTCGGGGTTTTTGAATTTTCCCACGAAACAAACAATGTGTAAATAGTGTTGCCTGTCAGTAGGTGTAGTAAGTATTATTCAATGATGTGTGGTTATACAGATTGCTCATTCATATGTAAATCAGACGACGAAAAGCCTTTTTTATTTCTCTTTATCAGTTGTAAACGAATCATTTACAAAACCGGTTTAGCAATTAGAATCTTTAGTGTTTTCTTGTCATTAAGATTTTACAGATTTAAATGTAGATTTTATAAATAGTAAAAAATATAATTGGTTCTTATAATAAGACAACAATTTATAAAATTAATTTTATTCAGTAATCAAGAGAACTTTGTTTTGTATGATTATTACAAATTATTTTAATATAATACGCTTCAGAGTAATTAAATAGTTTTGATGAAAGGTAGTTTTTGAAGTAGATTTAATGAAGAACACATAATTGTTACTTAGGTCCGATTCCACCGTTGTGTTAAACGGAGATTAAAATGACAGTGTTAATGTAAAAATGTCATTTTAAACTTCGTTTAACACAACGGTGGAATCGACCCTTAGTAATTCTTTAATAGAACTTGTCTATTGTATTCTAATATTTGTTTAAACAATAACGTAAAATAATTATTACGCATCTCTGTTATACCGCAAATTTTTGAGCATTGCGAAAAATTACTTATTTTATTTTACATACATATGGAAAATCAATTTTACAACGCAAAAAAATATGTTTTAAAAATACCCAACAATATCGTATCTCGATGTAAAAATAGGTAACTATTTCTTTTTCTAAATACATATTCCAATGTTGAAATTTTATTTAAAAATACATTTTGAGTCAGAACCATAGGCTAGAACGGTTCTGTTCAGTGAGATCTTATTTACATATGGGTAAGCAGTCTATATAAATATACACATCATTGGTGTAATTCGCAATATGTAATCGACAATCGATTAATAGATTCTTTGAGGTACAATTAATACAAATGTAAAAATTAATTTGAGAGTTGTATTAACAGTTATTTTAGTAAAAAAACCGTTTATGGGTCCTATGATTGAACGTTTACGTTATCCGTAACATACATGTTAGGCCCAGTTTTAACAGTAATGAGGCAAGTTCGTATGATTGAAAACTGTTAAATTAGATTATAATAGGCGCAAATTGACAGTAATGTGTTAAAAAAAAGTTTTCCATCACACGAACTTGCCTTTTTACTGTTAAAATTCGGCCTAACATGTACGTTACGGATAACGTAAACGTTCAATCATAGGACCCTATATCTTTTACATTTATACTGTTCTACGTTCTAAGATTAATTTATTCATAATTGGTCATAAAGTAATAATTTCAATCGATTTTCACATGTCATCTGTCATCAAGTCAACGATTGACATGCTTTGACCGTTGCCGCTTCTAACCTCTAACAAAATATGACAAATTGAGGTTAAATTAGATTCATAATTTGTTTGTGTTGTTCAAGAAAATGACCGAATTTACTTTAGGATATCGAGAAGTAATTCCAGATCAAACAGTTTTCGAAAATTGGCGAGAAATAACATTGACTACAGGTCAGTTTCATTGAAAATATATTATAGTTGTTTTGTAATAACCTGAATTATTTTTCTAGGCGGTACACAAAGTACTCTTCAAGATATAAAAGTAGCTGAAAGAGCAAATGGTTTTTGTTATGAAGACTCCACAAAGCACCATACTAGGAACAGATTCATCTACTGGTAGGATATTTTTTTGCTTATGAAAACAATTCGTTATATATGTTTTTTTTATAGGAGAATTAATTATGATGTACTAGAATTAGTAGAACATAGTTTGGATGTAAACCTTACAGCCAATAGAGTTAGATACAGATTCATCGATACGCCTATTCTAGATGGTGTTTCTATTCACGAAACGTATGAAAACATCATAGTTTTAGTCCCTACAGTTTGTAGTGTACATCGTTTGATATTTCCTCATCCCGATAGGTTTCATAGACAGGTTAGTGTTTGTTATTAAGTTTCTTTGTATAGATGTACATAAATGTTTATTATTTTAGGATGAATTATTAGGCATCCATCCAGATTTAGCTTCACCTTCGATATTTTCTAAAGCATCGCCAGTTGATGCTAGAAATCCAAATACTTTTTATGTTTTCATCAATCCAAGCACTGCCAGTAAGTTTTTTTATTATTTAGAATAGATTAACTAAAATATGAGTATCCAAGTACAGGGTGTCACATAACATGGATTTATTGTTTACATAATTATTAAAAAATAAGTAATCCAACCATATCGTCGTTGTTTTGGCTATTGGTCCTATCTCAAATTTACAATAATATCCAGGAGACCCTTAATAAGATTTTAGAATACTTTATTACTGATAAATTTTAAAGTAAGTTGGTTTGTTTCCTCTGATTTTCTGTTGTACTTTGATTATCTGGGAGCTATGTACATTGCAGTTTATGTTGTACAATGTTTAAAGATGTTTTTTTACAACTCACAGCCAGAAAAAAGCATTAGTAGTTTAACTACATTTTTTATTTCAACATTTATTAGTAGTTAACAATAATAAAAACTATTTAATTAACGGTATAACACAACAAAATATAATTGAATATATTATGTTTAAATATTTTGTGTTCTATATTTCTTGTAACCGGCATATCTGATGTACAAAATGAATTTAAATCCCTATATTTTTCTGCACATATTTTATTTGGACTAGAATTTTGCAAACAGATATTTCTTTTTAAAGTTAAAGATCTGTATGTTTCAGTATTATGACAACTTTTGAAGTAAACTTTATGTAAATTTTGTTTTGAAATTTTTACTTCTTTTATTTTTGTCCAATTACTTTTTCTTTCTGATCATCAATCTTTATGTCAAGTAATCTAATCTCCTGTGATAATTTCCTAAAATGTTTAAAGTCAAAATAGTTAGGCTGGGTCACATTATATTTGTGTTTTCTTTTGCGAGGCGAATTGTGGGTATGAGTTGAGATGGCATGAACATTTTTTCGCATTTTCGTAAGGCATAAGATATCGCTCTGTGGGCAGAATCCCCTTCATTCTGTCCATGATATGGTTCGAAAAATCTTAAGAATATCTCGTCTATACAGGGTGTACCTATAAAAACTCCCAGGCCAGATATTTTGGTAATAGATATTTTAATTCTGTAAAAGCCAGTTCATAGAGCGCCAAGAGAGCTTCAATTTTAGATATAAATTAATATTAAATAGGTCAATATGTAGATGGCGCTGCGCTCAATAATATTTTTTCAATGAAAGGATCTTTCTTATATAGTGCATCTTATAAAAAATGAATTTTTAAGCAGATTTTGTTCTATAAACTAATTCGATAAATCTAGCCATTTTTGATATACAGAGTGGGTCACTCAAAACAGTTTCATTCTGTTTTTCGGCATTAATCATTGGATTTTAAGAAAATGCTAAAACAGGTCGATTTGTATTCCAAATTGAACACATTTTCACAATGCAGACATCTGTCATATGTCAACCCCCTCCCTTCCACTTCTCCAACCCCTTAATTTTAAATTAGGAATGTACCATGTATGGCACATCATTGAAAAGGTAATTTTGTGGGGAAGTCATAAATATGATTGTTTATTACGATACTATTAATTTTAGCGCCCTCTATTGGGGTAAAAAACCTGTATCGTATTATAAAGTGTGACACTTTATTTGAAAACTAATTTAATTACTAATTCAATGCACCACATATAATTAATATAAATATTTCCATATTGCACTTGTAACAAAATAAAGTTAGCAATAATAATGTTTAAAATAATGCAAGACTAAATTCAAACTATTGCAAATGCAATATAAAGGATATTTATATTAATGTTATGTAGTGCATTGAATTAGTAATTAAATTTGATTTCAAATAAGGTGTCACACTTTATAATTCGTAGGTTTTTTTTATCCCGATAGAGGGCGGTACAAATAAAAGTATCGCAATAAACAATCATATTTATAAATTCCCCATAAAATTCCTTTTTAATGATGTACTACACATTGTAGTGCCACAATCTATAATACGTAATAGTTTTTTTTTCCGCTAGAGGGCAATAAAATTAAAGTAACGCAGTGTACAGAAATATTTCTGAATTCCCCATTAAATTACCTTTTCAATGATGGTGAAGTGCAAGGGAGGGAGTTGACACATGACAGATGTCTGCATTATGAAAATGTGAAAATAAATAGTCATTAAAATATAAACAAACATTATTATAAATTAACATTAATACATACATCTAAAATAAAATAGAACAAAACAAAATAAAACACATATCACAGTGTCTCGCCATTATAAAATTCTGTAATATTATAAGGCCTAGTTAACAGAAATCTCCTGAGCAGCTTTCTAAAACAATTCTGTGACTCAACATCTGTCAAAGTATGTGATAGCCTATTGTACATCTTGATTAGTGCAGGGCATAGTGGCGCATTCGTTTGCAAAATTGTTTTAATTCATAATTTTTTTTTTAAATATCCGGAAGGCTCTCCTGATTATAAAAGTGTAAGATGACACTCGATATTTGTTGATGTTATTGTTTAAACATCGAAAAATTATTTAAGCCAGAAAAAATGCATTTTTTGCAATGAATTAATTTTTTTTATATTCTTTAGGATATTTCGAATAAAAAAAGTCCTTACGCCCATCATCGTATCTTTAACCCTTTAATTGTTATGAATGTTTTAAAATCCGAAATTGACGAAAATTCTAATTTTCTTGAATTAAATAATATACCTTAAAATTTAAAATGCTATAATTTTAAATTTTTTACCGACTATTCAAACTATAATAAACAAAATAACCTAAATAAATTTTCAAAATTTTGTTTGTTTTTATGTTTTTTTTTTTACGTTATAACAATAGGCTTCCTACGCGCGTATACTTTTAGAGAGAAGTACTTCTATCTCACTTCCAACTCAATGTATAAGATGGGTAAGAGAAAGCCCGATGACGCGCTGAATCAATTTTTTGCTGTTTTTCAGAGGTAATAAGTTTAAAAAAATTATTAACATTTTTCATAACACTGTTATATTTGCCGATTAATAGTTTTGTATTATGTGATTTTTTTTACTTCTTTAGATACTTTTGATAACTTTTTTATTTATTAAAGTTAACAGAAACATTTATTTTTATTCATGAAAAAATTATTGTCAGATACTGCCTGAGAAGTAAAATCTTCTTCAACCTTTTTTTTTTCAATACGATATAAAGGCCAAATGCACTTGTCGTAATCTGTGAAAAATTTCTACATGTTACAATGAACATAGTAGGCTTACTGGGGTTATAAAATTTTATGATTTCAAAAATATCCAAGCCTTTCTCCATTTAACAAAAATAAGGAAAACAAATTTTTTTCTAATATTGAGAGTAAGTACTATAAATATGAAATTTTTTTATGACTTCAATCTTTTGCACTATGAATACAAATAGGTAAAGGGACTTATTTCGTATTTGGAAAAAATTGTACGTCTAACTCTTCTATTTTTTTCCTGTCATAAACAATTTTTACAACCTTCCAAATAGAAAATTCAACCCTACCTTAGAATTTTTGGCTCGTTTTGAAAATTATTTTTCAATAATTTTTTTATAACCTTTCTAGTCAAGCTTGGCACTTAGCATTTTTGTGGGACATAACTAATGGTATATATAATGTTTATATCGACAAATCTCAAAATTTAAAATTTTGGCACTTAGCATGTTTGAACCGGACACCCTTCAATTGTTAATCAGTCTTGCTCGATTCTACATCTACTGGTTTACTTTGCAGTCGTGTAATTTTCTGAGTAATAATGTCGTTCTCTTTAATTCCAAAAAAAAATTAAATTATCTGACGACAAAAAGTGTTTATTTTGTGATCATGGCGAGGCGTTAGTGAAGTGTCCGAAACCTGATACATATTTAAAATTAAAAAATGTAACTCTTCGTCGAAACGATAACGTGACTGTGCGATTTAATTTGTTTTTTAATGAAAATACTAGTGAACAATCTTTTTCGTGGCATCGTGGCGCGTAGGAAGCATATTGTTATAACGTAAAAAAAACATAACAAACAAAATTTTGAAAATTTATATAGGTAATTTTGTTTATTATAGTTTGAATATTCGGTAAAAAATTTAAAATTATAGCATTTTAAATTTTAAGGTATATTATTTAATTCAAGAAAATTAGAATTTTCGTCAATTTTGGATTTTAAAAAATTCATAACAATTAAAGGGTTGAAGATAAAATGATGGGCGTAAGGACTTTTTTATTCGGAATATCCTAAAAAATATAAAAAAAATTAATTCATTGCAAAAAATGCATTTTTTCTGGCTTAAATAATTTTTCGTCGTTTAAACAATAACATCAACAAATATCGAGTGTCATCTTACACTTTTATAATCAGGAAAACCTTCCGGACATTTAAAAAAAAATTACCAATTAAAACAATTTTGCAAACGAATGCGCCAGTATGCTTTGGTTTAGATACCATTGTATATAAAAGAGTCTCTTATAAGCTCATTTTTGGGAATAGGTAACTTCAAGTTACCCGTTTGGCGAGTTACACGGGATGTATTCGTGGGTAATAATAACGCATTTTAATCGTTACCTCTGCTGTGGAATACGATCCTCTACCCTAATCGGCCGCTTTAATAATGACAGTCACTAGGCAGTAGTGTATGCAGATGACCTGATCATTCTGAAAACAGGGAATTTTGAGAGAACAGTCTATGAAAGAATGCAAGTAGCTCCCAAAATTATAGAACAGTGGTGCAAGGACCATTCAGTATCGTATCAACCCCAAGAAAACAAAAGGACGAAAATGGAATTAAAACCTTCAAAACTCTTGAAAGACTATTTGCAACAGAAGTGAAGTACCTAGGTCTCACCTTTGACAGCAAGTTAACATGAAACTCACACCTAGAAAACAGTAAAATACCGTCGCACCGTGGGGCGCATCTGGGGTCTCTCCCCCAGAGTCGTCGCATGGACTTGCATCATAAGACCTATGCTACCATACGATGCATTTGTCTGGGTACCGAAAACCCAAAAAGTAGCAGCTATCCGCAAACTAGAACAAATTCAAAGAAGAGCATGTCTCAACATAACAGAAGTCGTGAAAACCACACAGAACAAAGCCACGGAAGTCATTCTTAATCTCATTTCTCTTGATATTTACATAAAGAAGGTTGCTCTGATGATAATGATACGCCTACGATCAGTTGGAATAGTACCTTATGCAGGATCTGGTTAGTCGAGACGTCGCTTTTGACTTTTGACAGGAGGCGCTTGATACGCTCCCACTGCTTTAAGCGAACATGCAGTCCATCTCAGCGAGATATTAACAGAACAACTAGAAGAGCTGGAAGTGACAGACCGACGGTTCTAAAATAAAACAAGGCTCAGGATGTGGAATATACTCCAGTTCCTTAAATCTAAACATAAAATGGGCTGTGAACGGTACTGCCAGTGTAATTCAAACCGAGCTCCCGGGGAAATCACCAGAAATAATATCGCTGGAAGAAACATTCTCATCTATACAGATAGCAGACAAGCACTACTCACCCTGGACAGACCACGAATTTAGTTAGGGTTAGTTCTAGAATGGCAAGCAGTTTTGGCCGAAGTATCCATCAATAATGTTGTTCAACTTAAGATGGATCAAACGTCACGCCACATCGAAAGGTAACCGTCATGCTGATTTACTAACTTAGTCGGTAGTGACAAATCAAATTATAGAACATTCCCTTGTGAAATTTAAGGAAAGATGGGATGAAACAAGAAGCTACAGACTTTCCAGGGCAGAATTTGCGCCTGATCACAGGCATTCTGACTGACCATTGCCAAGTACGGAAGCATCTCCATATTATGAGGCGGTCAGAATCCGCACTCTGCAGAGGGTGCGAACAAGATTAGACCATGGATCATATACTATGCGATTGTCCGACACTCTCATTTATTAGAAGTTAATCTTAGTTTTTTTTTTATATTTCAACCCCCGTTATTTATTGTTTCAGCAGGTGATTTATGAATTTAAATAATTATCCTGAAGTCAGTTTTCCGACGGATTCTATGCTTCCCAAATAATCAAAATAAATTAAAGTAATTTTGTTACAACTGTTACCGTAAGTACACTAGCGACTCTAATGAAAGTTGACACATCTTATAGTCCAACTAGCGGACCCGATAGGCATACTTTGTCCTGCCACTGACCTTGATCTCGACAACAGCGCCACTACCTCGCCCATTTATAGCTAAGAACCATCCAAGTGACTCCGTACCACCGGAATTTTATATATAAAGATGTGACCCTGATCTTATCCTTTTTTATTTTAGACGACCAACTACCGAACATAGCCAGTTCGTATTTATTGCCCGAAACGGAAGAAGCCTTTTTCATATTGGCATATCCTTCAACGGAACTTTTACTGATCAAACAGAATCCAGATAGCGGTCAAGTCGTGTGTACCGAGCTCAAAGGCGAATCCTTGGTTCCTAGATTTTTCGCGGGTATAGCGGAAAAATTTCGGTAATAAATCAAAAATAAATTATATGTATGAAAATAACAACAAATTTATTTGTAGACAAAGAAATTCGGATAGTGACACTATCGTAAGTCTGTTATTTTATATTGTTGATTACGAAACGTACGTATTGACGTTAACCAGAGATGCCCATTTGAAATTTTGGTCCTGTAGCAAGGGTCAGTGCGTTGCTGTCATCGACGTTCGCGAAAAAACCGCAGATAACTCAAAAGATCGTGTTCAAGGCGGTAAGTTAATTTTATGTTCAATTATTTATTTGTATAAACTAGCCACTATTACAAGTTTTTTCGTCTAACTTTACCTTGCTGAAATTAAAGCCATCCGACTTATATTTTTGTCAAAATGCTATATAAACTCAAGCAACGACAATTTAAGCTCCATATTCGACCTATTTTTGTACGCATTGAAATTTTATATACAATTTTAGCCATATTGAGGAAAGCAGTGGATGGAAATAGTTCTGAAAGTACATTAGCAGTGTTTTTAAACTTTGCAAGCGGTTGTCAATTCCACGTTTTAAATCCCGTTATTAAAGGACAAGAAATTACAATCGACCGAGTGGCGACTGTTTATTCACCCGAGGTAATTACTAAATAATCTCTTGCCGATACAATTAGTACAACTGTGAACGCTTTCAGAACGACCTTATAGATTTTGCTCTTCAAACCAATCGTTTGTGGTCTTTATGGAGATCCGAAGATGGCGATAGTGTCGTATATACGGCTTCGCTACCGTTGTGCAAGCAATCGGGTACTTTTAAGTCGACCAGTTGGACGCCGGTGATTTTGGAAACTATCCCTGACGCCAATCAAGCTCCCGCTAATGATGGCGATTCCGATTCAAGACAGATTTATTTGCAACATATTTTCCATCCTGGAAGGTTTCCCTTGCATATTATCAGTAAAGCGTTATCGGTAAGTTAAATGCCGATGACATTATTTAAATTTATTTTTTTAGACTAGTGCAAAATGTCATTTATTTAATAATATAATCTTTTATTTGTGATGTTGAAAAAATATTTACATTTCAAAGATTTTCCATAGTTTTTTTCCAAAACCGGAACATATATTCATCTCTTTTGAATATTTTTAGTTGTTTTCGTAAAAAAAAAAAAATTAACTTATTATTATATGTACTTAGGAAAAATAGCTTAAAATACTCTAGAATTTGGCATATTTCGAACATTCCCTCTAATCTTACCTTAAAAATGATCATGATCTTTGAAGATATTATTTTTGTTTAATAACCCTTTTTAATCGATCTATTTCCATTTTTATTGATTTTCTTCAAAAGTATGCTCATAAAAGACACATTATTTCAAATTTAATGAATAATCTTCACGATTTCTCATATTTTCAATAAATCGTAGAGGTTATTCAACTTCTCAAATATCGCCATTTTCATAAACGAGATTTAGAGATTTTTATTTTCGTGTATATTTTTAATAATTTTTAGAAATACTGCATTATCATGAAATGAAAAATATTTGTGTTTTCTCATATTTTCAATAGTTTTTCCCAATACTACTTTATTATATATGAAATGAAGAGCAAATATGAAGAAATGTGACAAAAAAATATTTTAATTTTATTTATTTACATTTCAAAGATTAACCACTGTTTTTCTCAGAATCGGAACATTTATTCATCTCTTTTATATATTTTTATTTAAGTTTTCTTAAAAAAAAACAATCTAAGTAAATATTATATATATTTAGTAAAAATTGCTTAAAATACTCTAGAATTTGGCATATTTTGAACATTCCCTCTAATCTTACTTTAAAAATGATCATGATCTTTGAAGATATCATTTTTGTTTAATAACTCTCAGCCTTTCATATTTTTCTCGTTTCAAATCATGTTGCTTCTTTATTTATTTCTTAGGTCTAAGGCTAATGAATCCTTTTTAATCGATCTTTTCGATTTTTATTAATTTTCTTTAAAAGTATGCTCATAAAAGAGACATTTCAAATTTAATGAATAATCTTCACGATTTCTCATATTTTTAATAAATCGTAATGGTTATTTAACTTCTCAAATATCACCATTTTCATAAATGAGATTTAGAGATTTTTATTTTCGTGTATATTTTTAGAAATACTGCATTACCATAAAATGAAAAATATTTGTTTTCCTATATTTTCAATAGTTTTTCCCAATACAGCTTTATTATATATGAAATGAAAAAGCAAATATGAAAAAAATGTGACAAAAAATTAATTTAGATGACAGTATTTCAATTTTTTCTCAGACTACTGATAAATGTGGCTGCGTCTATTATGGCAGAATTTATTTAATGTGTTATTTGTGATATTTGTTGCAAAAATGTTAATCAAGTTTACAAGTAAATATTCTTTTAGATTATCCATAGTTCTTCCCAAAGCCGGAACATTATTTAATCTCTATTGTGTATATGTAATAGTTTTCGTAAAAAAGAACATCCAAAATGCTATATTTATCTAAGTAGAAATAGCTTGAAATACTCTAAAATTTGGCTTATTTTGAGTTTTCTATATAATCTCACATTAAAAATGTTCATAATCTTTGAAGATAACGTTGTAATAACTGCAACGTGTAATATGTCATATTTTTTTGACATTTAATGGTGTTCTTGTTAATTATTGACGATTTTTATATATCTGCGTGGATGGACAATACCTGTTTTCCTATTTGAGATAGGAAAAATATCTCAAATAAAAGTTGTAGAGTCCAAGGAAAGCTGTTTTTTTTAATTTTTACTCGATTGAATTAATATTGAAGTGTTTCAAAAGATCAGCTATAATTGAAATTCGAGGAGTTATTGTAGATAGACTCAATTTATGTATATATAGCTCAAGATGGTAGATTGTTTAAACATCTACTGTGAATTTACGCTTTTTTAAATTGTTTGAAGTTATTTGTGTTACCTCTTTTGCATTGAATAAATAAATCGTTATTGTTTATATGATTTTCATATTTCAAATTTTACGTTATTAGTTATTTTTGAAACATAGTTTTCATTGCTTTCACCACTTTGATTTGAGACATTTCTTCACATCTCAAACAGGGAAGTGGCTATGTATCGTCCGCCCACGCATCGTTGATAAATGTATTTATATTTTTCGAAATTTGAATTGCTAAATTAATATTTTTACTGTTGAACCTTTTTTATTTGATCCATATGAATTTTATTGTTTTACTTCAAAAAATGTTCATAAGGAATACATTTTAAAAAGAATTTTAAATTTAGCTAATAATCTTCAAGATTTCTCATATTTTCAATAGTTTTTCCAAATACAGCATTACTATAAAATGAAAAATGTCTTATATTTTTGATAATTTTCCCAACATAAATGATATAAAAAGTAATTATGAAGAAATGTGATACAAAAAATGATTTTAGATTTACAAAAGATCAACAATTTTGTCAGATGCCCAAATATCAGCATCGGCGTTAAAACAAAGAATATGTTTAGCGGTTGATAACGAAATACAGAATATGCTGAACGGAGAAAACGTCAACGATGATGAATATATCGATTGCGCTGATTGGTGAGTCTTGCAAAATTGAAATTAATTACTCGTTATTATTGTTTTTTATTTAATTAGGTGCTGGCAAAAATTTTATTCTTGTTGCGTTCAATACCACATCGCGAGTCTAAAGCCGTTGGGATTGATGCTCTTACCGTCCGTATCTGGCGCGGTATTTTTGAAAAAATCTGCTTTTTCGTTTTTAAGACCTCTTGACGGATTAGAGCACATGACTCTTTGTAACGAAGAATTATACAGAGATCAGTTCGTCAATTTTTCAATGTTATCAGAAGGTAAATAATCAATGAGGAATAATAGTTGCAATAAGTACTTCGTTTGTTCAATTAGTTTTAGATTTAGATGCGGCAGAGGATGTTATGAATTTGTTTAAAGTAATAGTTTATCTAGACCAACAAATCAGCGAGACGTTTAATCAAGCTTTCGAAAAGGAATTATTTAACCTTCAAGCGCCCGATGTTGTAATGGATGGTTTGTTGGAAAAGATTCATAGCGAAATGGATTCTCAGGTAATTTTTCCAGAAAATTTTCATCTAAAGCGGTTCGTGAATTGTTTTTTCTTCTAGTTTTCCTCTCACATTTTGGAAATGATTAACGACATTAGCGACTTGTACAAGGCCATGCACAAAGTCCTCGAATTGTTGAGATACGAAAGCACTTTAGCCAATCCCGATAACGATATAAATCCGGCAGCCATGTACCATTTCAGTTCGTTACTCGGAACTTCTGTGGTGGCTGAAAGTCTTAGACAGCAAACTAAAGTCAGGTATGATAAATTATCTCATATGTATTGATTTTGAGATTTTATTCTTTCGTAAAAATCAGGTATATTATGATATAAAAGAATGTCGTTAACCCATAGAAATAATATAGAAGACCAATATAAACATAACATTTAAGCAGAAATTGAAACCTACTGTGCATAAAAACGCGCCTCTGCGCCTGACATCGCAAAATAGTGTGTCTAGAAGCTTGCGCAATATGCATGACTTGTCCCTGTAGTGTTGCCAAATATATTAAACATACCTAACAGAAAAGAATTTTAAATTAATTAATTTTTAAATTATATGATTTAAACAGTTTATATCTACGAAATATCGCCACAAAATAACTTAATGTCATTAATACCGTATTTTTAATGTTCAATAAGCGATTCACCTACAAATTCAATATTGACCTGGCAATAGCACTAAAATCCGGTGTTTCAAGGCTATATGACGCTGCCCTTACAGGACCGTTTGTAGTTTATTATTTATGCCGCGTTTGAGAATCCACATCGGATGCATCTGAGATGTAGTAAGTAGTAAATCTTTGATCACGTGATTCAGTATACGTAAATGTAATGGGACAGATGTGTCCGATGTGGATAAAAAACGCTCGAGATGTAAAAAATGCATCCGATGTGGATTCTCAAACGCGGCATTAATTACACGATGAAAGTGGCATTTTATTTTTAGTTTTGTGTAGTGTTTAGTCAAATCCTAGGTACAATAAAAGACATTTTTACATTGGCTAATGAAAATGTAATCAATGTATTAGGCAGCTGTTATATTTATTACAAGATTTATGTCTGCAAATCTAAACCTACCTAAGAATTATAATTATGTAAATAGAGAGCTGTATATTTATATACAGGCTGCCCAGCGACGGGGAGACATTATCGATATCGGTTTTAAGGCATTTTAAAACATAAACCCGATCTCAACAATCTTAGGAACTCTTCTGTCACTCGATATTTTAATCGGTACTTCCTCTTCGCTTTTTGGCTGACACAACAATTATTTACATTTCTTCATTCCTTACCGCGTTCGAACCAGTAAGGTTTAAAGAAATTAAAAAAATAACCTACTTTAAAAATAAAGATGTTAATGATTTTCTTATGGATCCCATCTTCAGATCTTGACTTAATGTATATAAAACTGTTTCCTTTTCTAACAAAAATAATCCTAGAAATCGGGCAACGTGGTAAAGAAGTATCGCTCAACATACATAAAAAAATATTTCAACGAATTGAGAATATCCTACCATTTTGAAGTATGTTAAAAAAAAATTGTTAATAAAGTGAAAAGTAGGGCATGAACATATATTATAAAGTATATAAAATGATAGATAAATCCAGTTTAGAAGGTATTATAAATAAACTGTGGAAATATCGAGAATCTCGATTTTGAATCGGAAAAATATTCTACGCAATTTAGTATGAAAGCTGATCAAAATGAAACACATGAACGACAAACTGTTATTGACAACTTTCTTCAAACGTTTTCTATTTTTCCGAAAACTAACTAGATAGTTCGAAAATCATTTCCTTCGTTAAAACGCCTCTTGTTCCGAAAAAGGTACACGCCTGCCAACATTCATCGTTCATTAAAAAAGTGGTAGATACAAAATGCTTCGTATTGTAAGGCCAAAATATATTTGGAAATCGAAATAGTCATATAAACAAAAAAATCATATGAGTGAGATAACTACCAAATTAATGATTTACAAGTTTATTCCTATTATTTATAAAATGTACAATGTGCTGGTGTGGAATGTTATCATCGACTAAAAACTTTAAATCTTTGTATTAAATTGATCTAAAACAAACTATAAATTGATTTAAGCTATATAGAATGTTTCTAGTAAGCAGCAACTAATTTTTATTATGGAACCGAAAGACCCTTTTAAAAAGGTTCAAAATTAAAATAAAATATGTACCAAGTAAATGTAGTAGTATTTTTTAATTTTTTAATTTATATTGAAAATGGTAACATGAAAGGTTTTCTGTCTAACGACTCATAGTCTCGGCTGACAAAATGTAAAAAAATATCGAACATAATATTCCTGGGCCCTATTTTGCACTCCCCAGATTAAATTTAGTTGTAGCAAATGATATTATCAAATAAGATGTCAAATCACAAGCAAAATCTCGTGACTACAGTACTAATGATTGCCTGTTTGGAAAAGTATCTTTGTTTGTAAATATTTATATGCATAGTTATATTTAAATGCGCGAGTGTAATGTTAAGTATAAACAAAATCCGCCCATTATGTATATACGTTTAGTTACCGACCCTAGTAGATAGGCAATTTGTTATTGTTTTAAGTTTTACCGTAGGGAGAGAGAAAATCAATATTAGGATAAATGGTCCAGCTCCTTTCTGGTTACGTAGGTATCTAAAAAGTATTTTAGTTTTTGGTTAAGTAATTAATTATTTAACAGTGATTTTCTTGTGATAGTACCTAATTTAGATTGTGGATTAAAGTTTTTGTATATAATTTCGCTGTTTAATAATAAACGTAGTCAAAACCGGAGCACGTGGTTTTTCTGGAAAGTATTTTTAATATCACAAGCAAAATCTCATGACTACTGTACTAATGATTGCCGAAAATTAACTAATTCATATTTTATGCCATATCTTTCTTAATAAGGACTGTCAGAACCATATTTACCTTAATTTGAAATTTTTTTAATCGTTTTTTGTATAGAATCATCTCTAAAAATGTATGATTGAAATATCGTGCGAACTATTTGTTCGATCAATAAAAAACTTGCACCGGTCCTGTTCGTGCCAGCACTGTTATACGCATGAGCTCCGACACACTATTTTCTCCTTATGGTTTCATTTTTGATATAAGGAATCGGCCTTCTATACTATTTCTATGCGTTAACCATTATAGTGGACTGTATTTTTAATTGTAGATTTCTAATATGCCGTAATTTGCTGTTGGTGTGCAACGTCTTATTGAAAGAAAAAACTTTGGATTGGGGAGTTCTGGAAGCGGTTCGTTCTGTTTGTATGCCCGATATCGTTGTACTTACCCAAGCCAGTTTTGTGGTACTGTGGCTAAGCGGTTTGTCAACGCTTGTAAATATGCCGTAAGTGATTTTTTTATGAGTAATTTTTTCTGTGAGTTTTTTCGTAACTATTTTTATTTTTTTGTAAATATTTTTTTAGTATTTTCTTTTAGTAATTTTTTGCAAATGATTTTTTTGTATAAATTTTTTTCGTGATTTTTTGTATGTATTTTTTCTCGTGTTTATTTTTTTGTGATTGCTTTCTTAAGTCATCTTTTTTTTGTAATAAAGTCTAAATTTTATATTTAAAGTCTAAATTTAATGTTTAAAGTCCAAATTTAATGATTAGAGTCCATAATTAATGTTTAAAGTCAATATTTCGAAAATAAAATACTATATTTAAAGTTTAATGTTTAAATTTAATGTTAAAATCAATATTTAGAAAATAAAACACTAAATTTCAATTCTAACTATAAATATTTAAAATACAGTAGTAAATTTCGATTTTAATGTCCAAATTTAATGTTTAGAGTCTAAATTAAATTTTTAAAGTCTAAATTTAATGTTTAAATTTTTAATTTAATGTTTAAATTCCAAACTTTTTAAAATCTATATTTCAAATACATAAATAAATTTCCAGTCGAAAGTCTAAATTAAATGTTTGAAGACCAAATTTAATTATCAAAGTCCATAATTAATGTTTAAAGTCTATATTTCGAAAATAAAATACTATATTTAAAGTTTAATGTCTAAATTTAATATTAAAGTCAATATTACGAAAAAAAATTCAACTATAACTCTAAATTTTTAAAATAAAATAGTAAATAAAATGTTTAAAGTCTAAATTGTATGTTTAACGTCTAAATTTAATGATTAAAGTCTAAATTTAATGATTAAAGTCCATAATTAATCTTTAAAGTCTATATTTCGAAAATTAAATACTATACTTGAAGTTGAATATCTATATTTATTGTTAAAAGTCAATATTTCGAAAATAAAACAATAAATTTCAACTATAACTCTAAATTTTTAAAATCAAATAGTAAATAAAATGTTTAAAGTCTAAATTGTATGTTTAACGTCTAAACTTAATGTTAAAAATCAATATTTCGAAAATAAAACACTAAATTTTAACTCTAACTATAAATATTTAAAATACAGTAGTAAATTTCGATTTTAATGTCCAAATTTAATGTTTAGAGTCTAAATTAAATTTTTAAAGTCTAAATTTAATGTTTAAAGTCTTAATTTAATGTTTAAATTCCAAATTTTTTAAAATCTATATTTCAAATACATAAATAAATTTCCAGTCAAAAGTTTGAAGACCAAATTGAATGATCAAAGTCCATAATTAATGTTTAAAGTCTATATTTCGAAAATAAAATACTATATTTAAAGTTTAATGTCTAAATCTAATGTTAAAAGTCAATATTTCGAAAATAAAACACAAAATTTCAACTATAACTCTAAATTTTTAAAATAAAATAAAAAATTTCGGGTTTAAAGTCTAAATGTAATGTTTAACGTTGAAATCAATTGTTTAAAGTCTAAATTTAATGTTTAAAGTCCAAATTTAATGACCAAAGTCCATAATTAATGTTTAAAGTCTATATTTCGAAAATAAAATACTATATTTAAAATTTAATGTCTAAATCTAATGTTAAAAGTCAATATTTCAAAAATAAAACACAAAATTTCAACTATAACTTTAAATTTTTAAAATAAAATAGTAAATTTCGGGTTTAAAGTCTAAATGTAATTTATAAAGTTTAAATCAAATGTTTAAAGTCTAAATTTAATGTTTGAAGTCTAAATTAAATGTTTAAAGTCCAAATTTAATGATCAAAGTCCATAATTAATGTTTAAGGCCTATATTTCGAAAATAAAATACTATATTTAAAGTTTAATGTCTAAATCTAATATTTAAAGTCAATATTTCGAAAATAAAACACAAAATTTCATTTATAACTCTAAATTTTTAAAATAAAATACTAAATTTCGAGTTTAAAGTCTAAATGTAATGTTTAAAGTTTAAATTAAAAGTCTAAATTTAATGTTTAAAATCCAAGTTTATTATTTAAAATCTATATTTCAAATACATAAATAAATTTACAGTCGAAAGTCTAAATTAAATGTTTGAAGACTAAATTTTAAAAATTATTGATTTTTTTGTGAATGATTTTTTTTCTAAATGATTTTTATCGTTCAAAATATTGTTTTTTTTTTCATCTTTTTTTTTCATAAGTGATGTTTTTCTTATATAGATACGTGAAAATAAATTATATTTTTAGAATTAGCGAGTCATCGTTGAACAGACTGAACCCGTTAAAATTGGCTCCCGTACTTAATTTGAGACCGACCAGCACTTGTACGTCTTTGTTAGAGTTATTTATTTGTTCGTCTGGTGGACAAGAAGCTAGAAAATCTTTCGCTAGAGTGTCTTGCAGCGACGAAGCTCTAGCGCATTGGCATTTATCGCTGTTGCCGTATTTGAACCACGTCAGACACATAATGTATCCTTTATATCATATTAAAAAATACCAATTAATGTACGTTTGGATATTCTTACAATATTGTTCATTTTTTCATCCACTGTAGAAATTCTAAAATCACAAATATATTATGACAGGCTCAGCTCTCTACAAATATAACTGTTGATTTAAAGAAGTAGTGTGTAATATGCTTATAGTTTCTGTAATATTATTTTTCTTGTAGGTGCATTCTTAAGTCATCACAATACTTCAAATTAGGTTTTTTTTTCGGGAAAATATATTTTTTGAAATTCTAACCTTAAAGTTCTTCGCATTATTTAAACCGCGACAATCTTGCAACTTAGAATATTATGGTGATATTCATCCGCCTCTATTTTTACATTTCACTTGAGTTTTTTTTGCTTTACTTAAATCTTGCTTAATGTGATTTTGACTTTTTACCGTAACATTTTGGCGCCCAACGTGAGTTTTTTTTTATAATGACTTTTTACGTTTCGACGTAACTTTTATCACGTTTTGCGACTTTACATTTTTAGAATTTTAAAGTTTAACAGGATTTTTTTGCCATTTTCCTTAATATAAAACAATTAGCTGGCCCATAAGCGGCGGTACGGTTTTAGCTGAATGGCTCTTGGCTAGCGGCCAACATGTGTGGCTCCAACAGTACGTACGACTCTTAAGCAATTGGTGCGAATGGAACAGTTGTACCAGTAAGTTTTTTGAAACAGTCATAATATTGTTCTAGAAAGTAACAAATAAACTCTATTTACGTTTTTAGGAAACTTCTTATTAGCAACAGCATTTCTTACCACTGGGGAATTTTACAAAGCTGAAGATTTATTCGAAACAGCCGCAAAGGGTGTTTTTAGTGACGGGTTTTTGCAAGAAAGGATACTAAAAGGTATGGATGAAAGTCCATCTAAGGCTTTCGTGAATTATTACTTGAAGGTCATTCAATTGTTCGAGTTGCACAAGGCTAGAGATTGCGTTATAAGCGTAGCTAATACAGCGCTGAGTATCGTGGAACCTGATGATCCGTTGGCGGTGAGTTTTTGTTGTTGTTTTTAATGTGTTATGAAATGATATAGCAAAAAAGATTGCATTGTTTCTATTCTATTTCAAATTTGATCTTTAAAGTCTAAATTTAATGTTTAAAAAGAATATTTCTAAAATAAAACAATGAATTTGCAATCTAAGATCTAAATTTTAAAAATAAAATATTAAATTTCTAGTTTTTTGTCTAAATTTGATGTTTAAAGTGTAAGTATAATGCCGAAACTTTAAATTTAATGTTTAAAATCAAAATTTAATGTCTATATTTCAAATATAACAATAAATTTCCAGCCTAAAGTCTAAATTTTGAAAATAAAGTACTACATTTAGTGTTTAATATCTAAACTTAATGTTTAAAGTCTAAATTTAATATTTATAGTTTATATTTAGAAAATAAAATACTAGATTTCAAATTTAATGTCCAAATTTAATGTTTAAAATCTAAATTAAATGGTTAAAGTCTAAATTAGGCGTTTAAAGTCTAAATTTGATGTTTAAAATCTAAATTTAATGTTTAACGTCTATAATTAGAAAATAAAAGAATACATTTGCTGTGTAAAGTATAAATTTTAAAAATAAAATACATTTCGAGTTTGGTGTCTAAATTTAATGTTTATAAAGTATAAATATAAGGCTGAAACTTTAAACTTAATGTTTAAAATCAACATTTAATGTTTAAAGTCTATATTTCAAAAATAACAATAAATTTCCAATCTAAAGTCTAAATTTTGAAAATAAGGTAATACATTTAGTGTTTAATATCTACACTTAGAGTTTAAAATATAAATTAAATGCTTAAAGTCTAAATTTAATATTTATAATCTATATTTAGAAAATAAGATACTAGATTTCGAGTTTAATGTCCAAATTTATTGTTTAAAGTCTAAATTTAATGGTTAAAGTCCAAATTTGATGTTTAAAGTCTAATTTTGATGTTTAAAGTATAAATTTGATGTTTAAAGTCTATAATTAGAAAATAAAAGAATACATTTGCTGTATAAATAAATTTAATGTTTAAAGCCTAAATTCAAAATTTAATGTCTATATTTCAAATATAACAATAAATTTCCAGCCTAAAGTCTAAATTTTGAAAATAAAGTACTACATTTAGTGTTTAATATCTAAACTTAATGTTTAAAGTCTAAATTTAATATTTATAGTTTATATTTAGAAAATAAAATACTAGATTTCAAATTTAATGTCCAAATTTAATGTTTAAAATCTAAATTAAATGGTTAAAGTCTAAATTAGGCGTTTAAAGTCTAAATTTGATGTTTAAAATCTAAATTTAATGTTTAACGTCTATAATTAGAAAATAAAAGAATACATTTGCTGTGTAAAGTATAAATTTTAAAAATTAAATACATTTCGAGTTTGGTGTCTAAATTTAATGTTTATAAAGTATAAATATAAGGCTGAAACTTTAAACTTAATGTTTAAAATCAACATTTAATGTTTAAAGTCTATATTTCAAAAATAACAATAAATTTCCAATCTAAAGTCTAAATTTTGAAAATAAGGTAATACATTTAGTGTTTAATATCTACACTTAGAGTTTAAAATATAAATTAAATGCTTAAAGTCTAAATTTAATATTTATAATCTATATTTAGAAAATAAGATACTAGATTTCGAGTTTAATGTCCAAATTTATTGTTTAAAGTCTAAATTTAATGGTTAAAGTCCAAATTTGATGTTTAAAGTCTAATTTTGATGTTTAAAGTATAAATTTGATGTTTAAAGTCTATAATTAGAAAATAAAAGAATACATTTGCTGTATAAATAAATTTAATGTTTAAAGCCTAAATTCAAAGTTTAAAGTCTATATTTATAAAATAAAACCAAATTTTCTACATAAACTCTGAATTTAATAATTATAATCAATAATTTTAAAATGAAACAATGAATTTCTAGTCTAAATTTTAAAAATAAAGTATTACATTTCGAGTTTGGTGTCTAAATTTAATGTTTAAAATCAAAATTTAATGTTTAAAGTTTATATTTCAAAAATAACATTAAATTTTCAATCTAAATTCTAAATTTTGAAAATAAAGTAATACATTTAGTGTTTAATGTCTACACTTAAAGTTTTAAGTCTAAATTAAATGTTTAAAGTCTAAATTTGATGATTATAGTGTTAAGAGTGAGATTATGGGTCCTTTTGACTGGCCCTAAAGTCCACTCTTAGCGGTAACCACGGGTTATATATAGGGGCCCAATTCGTATTTAAATTGGCCTCTAGATAACACACGGCTAGGGGGTTAAGTTCAGACGGGAAGACCTAAGGAACCCTAACTTGAAAGATTGAAACAACAAGCGTAAAACAAATAACTATGGTTTATTTAACAAATATATAAATATAGCACTTCAATAATCTTTGCTAACTACACAATTAAATATTACTCCTTAAAAGTATCTACTTACATTAACATTGTTATCCGTTGGGCAGCAGGACTGGCTAAAGGCACACGTTACTTTTTCCACTACGTGGTTTTACACAAAATAAAACTAACCGCGATTTCGCGTGACCGACCCGAAATTTACTTAGTGCCAAAAACTGGACACGACCGATCGCCAACAAAAACCCAAAGGAACTCCCAGAAAATTCACTTGTAATTTTCCAAGAATGCTCGTGTTGATCTTTCTTGACCCTGTACTTTAATATTATGATTTAATAAAACCTTGTCCAACTACACGTTTTGTTATTTTATTGCAAATGTATTTAATGTGCATGCCCTTGGACAAAATTTACAAATCATAACATACCTATTCACAGGGTGTTCTATTTATTCGTAACAATAGTCTAAATTTAATGTTTAAAGTCTATAAATAGAAAATATAAAAATACATTTGCTGTATGAAGTATAAATTTTAAAAATAAAATACGTTTTGAGATTATTGTCAAAATTTAATGTTTAAAGCCAAAATTCCATGTTTAAAGTCTATATTTATAAAATTAAACCAAATTTCCTCCATACACTCTAAATTTAAAAATTAAAATTTTAAATTTCGGGTTTTAATTTTTATTGTTTAAAGTTATAAATTTATTTGTCCAAAATAAATTTTTAAAGCCTAAATATAATGTTTGAAGTCTATATTTCGAAAATAAAAGAAATCAATTTCCAGTCTTAAAGTCTAAATTTTTAAAATAAAATACTACATTTCAAGTTTAATGTCTCAATTTAATGTTTAACGATTAAAGTCTAAATTTAATGTTTGAAGTCTATATTTTCAAATTAAAACAACGAATTTCCAGTCTAAAGTCTAAATTTTAAAAATAAAATACTTCATTTCAAATTTAATGACTAAATTGAATGTTTAAAGTCTAAATTTAATGTTTAAGTCTAAATTTAATTTTTAAAATCTAAATTTAATGTCTTAAGTCTATAATTATAAAATAATAGAATATATTTTCAGTTTAAAGTCCAAATTTTAAAAATAAAATATTTTATTTCTAGTTTGTTGTCTAAATTTAATGTTTAAAATCAAAATTTAATGTTTAAGCCTTTATTTCAAAAATTACAATAAATGTCTAGTCTAAAGTCTAAATTTTGAAAATAATGTACTACATTTAGTGTTTATTGTCCAAACCTAATGTTTTTTTTGTGTGTGTCATCGGCTTCAACTGCTAAGATTATTTCGCCTTGTGTTCTGTGTAGGCTTTGTTACTGTTTCCCAGCGCCAATTTAGGAACCGCACTGTTAATTAGAACCTAACAGGGAATAGTCGAACGGGACTTAATGTTTAAAGGCTAAAATAAATGTTTAAAGTCTAAATTTTAATATTTAGTCGATATTTTAGGAAATAAAATACTAGATTTCAAGTTTAATGTTTAAAGCCTAAATTCAATGTTTAAGTCTATATTTCTAAATTAAAACTGAATTTCCTCTAAGATCTCTAAATTTCAAAATTAAAATTTTAGATTTCAGGTTTTAATTTTTAATGTTTAAAGTTTAAATTTAAGTCCAAATTAAATTTGATGTTTGAAGTCTATATTTCGAAAGTAAAAGAATCAATTTCCAGTCTTAAGTCTAAATTTTTCTAATAAAATACATTTTAAGTTAAATGTCTCAATTTAATGTTTAAAGTCTAAATTTAACGATTAAAGCCTAAATTTAAAGTTTAAGGCTCAATTTTATTGATTAAAATCTAAATTTAATATTTAAATCTTTTGTTTAATGTTTAAAGCCTTAATTTAATGTTTATACACTAAATTTAATGTTTAAAATCAATATTTAGAAAATAAAAGACTACATTTCCAATTTAAACTCTAAATCTTTTAATTAAAATACTACATTTCTAGGTTAATGTCTAAATTTAATGCTCAAACTCTAATTTTATTGTTTAAAGTCCAAATTAAATGTTTAACGTCTAAATTTAATAATTAAAGTCTATATTTCATAAATAAAAGAAGACATTTCCAGTCCTAATTTTATATTTTAAAAATTAAATACTAGATTTCGAGTTTAATGTCTAAATTTAATTCTTAAACTTTCCATTACATTTTTTAAATCTAAATTTAAAACCCAAATTTAATGTTTAAATTCTAAATTTAATGTTAAAGTCTAGATATAATTTTTTAAATCTAAATTTAATGTTTAATGTCTAAATTTATTGTTTCAAGTCTAAATTTAATGTTTATAGACTAAATTTATTGTTTAAATCAATATTTAGAAAATGAAAGACTAAATTTCCAATTTAAACTATAAACCTTTTATTCAGAACACTACATTTCTAGTTTAATGTCTAAATTTAATGTTCAAACTCTAATTTTAATGTTTAATGTCTAAATTTAATATTTAAAGTCTATGTTTCATAAATAAAAGATGTATTCTTTTATTTATGTCTAATTTATGTAAAATGAAGTCCTCTATCGCTGTTAAATTGAAATAAACTCCTCAAAAATTTCAGGCCACGCTGTATTCCATAAAATTCAAACACCACTTGGCGCTCAAACACTACGAACTCGCGTTCGATTCGTTGTACTCCAATCCCGACGCCGAACGGAAAAAAGACAATTTGAGAGACCTGGTCAAAACTTTATTAGACGAAAAGAAACTAGACACTCTATTGAATTTCACTTACGGCAGCATGGACGAGTTCTTCGCTAACATACTCTTAACCAGAGCTAGAGCCACCGATTCGGTCAACAATGTTTTCTACGATTTTCTGTATTCCTATCAGATCAAAAGGGGGCCGCTTTCCTATCGTTTAGGTAAGAAACGAACTGTATGGCCGATTTAGTAAATATAAAATGTAATTTTGCATGTTTCAGCCGCGAGCGTGATGTACGAACAAGCATTCCGACTGAACCACGCGAACAACATCGACGCGTTGGAAAAACAAGTGAAATGTTATTTGGCGGCTAAGAATGTTTTGCATTTGTGTCAACCCGAACATGCTTGGGTAGTTAGACCTGCGGATCCCGACGATGAAGACGAAGAAGTCGTTTTGCAACCTTTGGCCGGATCGAATCGAGTAAGTATAAGAAATAATTAACACATTTTTTTTTTATTTGACCGAAATCCGTATTTAATTTCATAATATTTCTGTATTATTTCGAATTTTTATATATTAATATTTTTCTAAATTTGCTAAATCAATTTAAATTTAGTTAAAATCTACAATTTTCTTATATTTTCAATAGTTTTTCCAAATACAGCATAATTTTTCTAAATAATTTTACAGATTAAAACTGGTTAAAGTGACTTTACATATTTATATTTTTCGAAATTTTTATTTCTTAAGTATTATTTTTACTGTTGGAACCTTTTTTATTCGATTTACGGCCATTTTATTAATTTTAAAACTCTCCATAAAAAGTAAACTTTTAAAAATTACAGACATTTTAAATTTGGTAAATACTCTTCATGATTTCTCATGTTTTTAATGGTTTTTCCAAATACAGCAAAAAATTTCTGTTTAATTTCGCAATTTGTTCATAATCTTACAGATTAATACTGGTGTATAGTGATTTCTTTACATTTTTATATTTTTCGAAATTTTTATTCATTTTTTTTACAGTTGAACTTTTTTATTCGCCTCATTTGCATTTTATAGATTTTCTACAAAAAAAAATGTCAATAAGACGTAAACGTTTAATTAGACATTTTAAGTTTATAAAAAAATAATTTTCACGATTAGGTATTATTTTCATTAGTTTTTCCAAATACAACAAACTGTTTCCGTATAATTACACACTTTGTTCAAAAACATTAAAAATTGTGTAAGATGACTGTACATTTTTATATTTTTCAAAAATTAAATGGCTAAATTATTATTTTTACTGTTTTTGATCTATTGACATGTTAAATTTAGTAAATAATCTTCACAATTTCTCATATTTTCAATAGTTTTTCCAAATATAGCATTATTTTTCTGCATACTTTCCATAATATTGCAGATTAAAAACTGGTGTAAGTTGATTTTTATATTTTTCGAAATGTTTATTATTTCATTATTATTTTTACTGTGGACATTTTTTATTCGACTCATTTGCAGTATATTGATTTTCTTCAAAAGAATGTTCATAAAGAGTAAACGTTTTAAAGAGTCATTTTAAGTTTATGAAGAACTTTCACGATTATTCTTATTTTCAATGGTTTTTTCAAATACAATAAACATTTTCAGTATAATTACGCACTTTGTTCGTAAACATTAAAAATGTTTAAGATGACTTTATACATTTTTATATTTTTCGAAATTTAAATGGCCAAATTATTTTTACTGTTGAACCTTTGATCTACGTGCATATTATTGATTTTCCTCAAATGAATATCCATAAGAACTAAACGTTTTAAATTTAGTAATTAATCTACACGATTTCTTATATTTTCAATAGTTTTTCCAAATACATCATAATTTTCCTGTATAACTACGCATTTTGTTCATAAATATTAAAAATGGTGTAAGCTGACTACATTTTTATATTTTTCAAAATTTAAATGGCTAAATTATTATTTTCATTGATGAACCTTTTGATCTTTAAATTAATTTCCATAAGAACTTAACGTTTTAAAACTGACATTTTAGATTTAGTAAATAATCTTTACAATTTCTTACATTTTCAATAGTTTTTCCAAATATAGCATTAATTTTTCTGCATAATTTCACTTTGTTCAAAATTTTACAGATTAAAAACTGGTCTAAAGTGACTTTTTACACATTTATATTTTTCGAAATTTGAATTACTTAATTAATATTTTTACTGTTGAACCTTTTTTATTCAAACTATATTCCTTTTAATGATTTTCTTCAAAAGAATCTTTATTAAAAGTAAACATTTTAAAAGACACATTTTTAATTTAGCGAATAATATTCACTCTCTTTTGGGTATTACATATGTCAAAATTATTTATAAAACTGTGAACAAGTTCAAAATAATAAAAAGGATATGTAACTACTTATATGAACAATACAAAATATAAAGGATTCAATGCTAATAACCTTGGTCTGTTCCTAATTTTAAATTTGTGAACATTCAGGATATTTTGTAAAAATTGGCCATATAATTGAGAACAAATTCAAACTATGAACAATTCTAAATATGTTAATTTCCATAAAATGATTGTGAACTAATTTAAATCTTGAACTTCTAATTAAAATTAACACCTAATTTTAAAACTGTTCATAACACAACTTTAAACTTGTTCATAACATGGTGAATAAATTCATAGAACATAGAACATTGTGAACAAATTGAAAATGTGAAAAATCAAGAATGTTAACCAGGAATTACTTCTAATTACAAAATTGTAAACAAATTCAGAAAATTTGCGAATAAGGTACTAATTGATCATAACGTTGTGAACAAGTTCAAATTATGAACTATGATAAGGTTAATTCATGGCTAGTCTTTTTCATAATCAAAATCAGGAAATTGTGAACAAATTAAAAATTGTTCATAACGTTGTGAACGAGTTCAAATTATAAACAGCTTTAATAATGTAACTCTGGACGGTTCCATATTCCATAAATGTGAATAAAATTACATATCTAAAAATTGTGAACAATTATGAACAACTCTAATAATGTTAACAAACTGAGGACTGCTAATTTCAAAAATGTCAGTTAATTTTGAACAATGAACAGTTTCGGTTAAATGTTAATATGGGTTTGCCATGTATTTCTTATATGAATTAGTATATAATAATTGTGAACAAAATATTTTTTTTTGTTTTCTTGGATTATAGATATTTAACTACAGATTTTTTTGTTAATTGGTGAAGTTTGTAAAATGAAAATTATTCATAACCTTTTAAACAAATTATGTTTCTAATTAAAAAATTATGGACTAAATCAGAATAATTCAAAATTGAAAACATTCAAGATTGTGAACAAATTTAAAATTGTTCACAGCATTGTGAACAAATTAAAAATGTATTACATCACTGTAAATAAGTTCAAAATGTGAACAAATCTAATAGAGTTAAAAAACTTCTATTAAAATTGACCATTTAATAATTAATATGAAAAAATTCAATTTATTACCAAGAATACTGCTTATAATTTCAAAATTGTGAACGAAACCAGGATATTTCAAAATTGTGAACACATTCTAAATTGTTCATATCATTGTGAACAAGTTCAGAATGTGAAGAAATTTAAATTGTTAACTGAGGATGGTTTCTAATTATAAAATCAGGATATTTAAAATTTGTAAACAAATCCAAAAATATTCATAGGGAACAAACTGTAAATCTCTACTAATGTTAATTTAAAAAATTGAACAAAAACAATATATTTAAAAATTGTGTACAAATTCAAAAGATAAGACAGTTCATAGTTTCTAAATTTTTGAATAAAATCAGAAGACAACAATTATTAACAAAATGAAAATTGTTTATTACATTGTGAACAAATTCAAATTATGTACGATTTCGGAAAGTTAATAAATTGGATTTTTAAATTTGAATTTTGAATAAATCAAAAATTATTTACAATAAATAGAATATTCGCAATTTTAAAACATTTAAAAACTCGATCGCTCTTATAAGGTATATTTCGTTTTTAAATTCAAAATCCAAAACATTTAATACAAAATTTTACTCTACGTGTTCGCATATTTTTCATGATCTTGCCAAAAGACGCATTTTAATACATTGATTCACGAATATAGCACTTTTTTATCAACATCATTATCTTTTAGGAAATGCGAGTATTTAAGCTGAGAAAGCAAGTCGAAGTGGTGGATATTGAGACTATACAAAAAGAACTTATCTTCTCGAGTGCCAAATTGAAATTAGCTAGATTTAATACCAGTACTCCGATTAATATAACCAGTGAGTAATTATTTTATTATTAATTGCACTTAGGATATGATATTCAAGTGTGTCCGTCCCTATTTCAACCTCCTTTTTTGTCTTTATTTTATTTATTTTGCAACATTTGTTTTTAGGTCCTGTGGAATTAGTAACGTTATTAAATACCTCTGGATTATTTAAAACTGCTTTTGACATTTGTACAACGTTCTCTTTGGCGTATTCTCCTGTGTTCGAAACGCTGACCAAACAATGCGTACTGCTAAGCGAGGAGGATAACCCCAACGCTTGGAATTGGTTGGTAGAGAATGATTTGCAAGGTAATTAGAGATATTAACGGTGAAAATTGTTTTCTAAACATTTTTATTGCAGATCTTCCGGTGAATCGTGAATCCGCGTCCGATGTCATTTGGCAGTTCCTTCAGGATTGTTTGGAAAAATACGAAGAACCTAAAATGACCACATTACATTGCGTGGTCGCTAAGAAGATAATTAATATGAGGATATATTTGCCTCATTGGCTTGTAGCTTCGTATAAGGTAATTATATATTTTTTTACGTTTTACAGTGAGTAGATAGTAAGTCACTTGAGTACTTTCGATTTTCCCCAGATCTGGGGAAATTTTAGTTCGACTAATTAAAAGAAATATCGATCTAAGTGTTTTTTTAATCGATTCTTATTATTTTCTCCAGATCTACTCAGCGAATAACAGAAAAATCTATTAATTGTATTTTTTGTTGACTTGATATAATACAGAAATTCTAACAAGTATTAAATCCGACAGGAATGTACCGATCTCTGACTTATTGCAGTTAGTTTATAACCTTGAAACCTATTTTTTTTTTTTTATTTTAGTATTAAATTAATATTTGGTTATGACATATTTTTTTTATTTAAAATGTATGTTATTGTCAATTAGCAAAATTTTTAATACAAACCAATAAAAATCCACAATCCACGGTTAGTTTTAGGTTAATATTTGTTAGACGTTTCTATTATTTTTTACACTTTTCACTTTTTTAAATATTTTTTTGGTGCTCTTTTTTGTGGTTTATTTTTGTTAAAATAGACCATATAATTATTATGACCAAGAAGACTGGTTCTAATTTAAAATTTGTAGACGAAATCAAAATTGTGAACAAATTTAAAATTGCTATAAGCCTTGTGAACAAATTCAAAATTGTTCATATCACTTTGAACAAGTTCAAAATGTTTACAAATCTAAAGTGTTAACTGAGGATTGTTCCTAATTAGAATATTTAGAATTTATAAACACTCAAATTTTTTTATTGTGTTGTGAACAAGTTCACACTAGTTGCCATTAAACGACATCGTTGGCGTTGGTGGAGATCCACCCTCTGCTGTCTTTTTCATTTCTATGTATGTATCAGTGGGAACAAGTATAAAATGTGAACAAATCTAATAATGTTAAAAAATTGTGGATAAAATCAAAATGTTCAAAATTTAAAATTGTTCATAGCATTGAGAACATTTGTGAAAAAAATTGTTCATATCACTGTGAACAAGTTCAAAATGTGAACCAATCTGAAATGTTAACTGAAGATGGTTCCTAATTACAAAATTGTGAACAAAATAAGTATATTCAAAAATTATAAACAACTTAAAAATGTTTCATAATGTTATAAACAAATTCAAATTAGTAAAAATCAGTACTGTTCTAAATTATTGACGTTCAATTTGCTACCACGTTAACCTGTGAAATCTTTATTTACGAACATACAGTGTTGTCATTCAGCTCTACCCGTTCTGCCCCTTATAATTACTTTCATACGTGAACAAGTTCAAAATGTGAACAAATCAAAAATGTTAACTGAAGATGGTCCCTAATTACAAAATTGTGAGAAAAATCAGGAAATTTCAAATTTGTGGACTAATTCAAAATTGTTCATAGCATTGTGAACCGATTTAAAATCATTAACAGTATTTTGAACAAATTTAAAATTGTTTATATCACGTTGGCGTTGTACGAGCGCCGCGTTCTGTCTTTCTTTCTATTCAAGTTCCATGTTCATACCACTGGAAATAAGTTTAAAATTGAATAAATCTAATATAAAAAAATTGTAGTCGAAATCAGGATATTACAAAATTGGAAGCATATTTTAAATTGTTAATAACATTGTGAACAAATTTGAAATTGTTCATAGCATTGGGAATATTTTTTGTGAAAAGAATTTAAATTGTTCATATTACTGTGAACAAATCTAACATGTTAACTGAAGATGGTTGCTAATTACAAAATTGTGAACAAATTTAAAATGGTTCATATCATTTTAAAGAAATTTAAAAATTTCATAACTCTGAATAGTGAAGAAATTCAACATTTTATATACCACTATGAACAAGTTCAAAATGTAAACAAATCTAAAATGTTAATTGAAGATGGTTTCTAATTACAAAATTATGAACAAAATAAGAATATTTAAAAATTATGTACAAATTAAATTAGATAAAATTCAGTACTGTTCTAAGTGATTGATGTTCAATTTATTACCACGTTAACCTTTAAAATCCTTGTATCTATTTACGAACATACAGTGTTGCGATTAAGCTTTACTCGTCGCTCTCGTTATTTATTTTTAAACGTGCAACGTTGCCATTAAGCGACATCGTTGGTGTTGCTCTCTGTCAAATTCTTTCCATTCAATTTCCATGTTCAACCTTGAAAGGCACAATTTATAAATCACTGTGAACAAGTTCAAAAAAGTGAACAAATCTAATGTCAAAAAAATTGTGTGCGCAATCAGGATATTTCAAAACCTATTCTTGTAAACACATTTGAAATTGTTCACAGCACTGTGAACAAATTTAAAAGTGTTCCCAACATTGTGAACAAATTATAACTTGTTTATAGATATGTGAACAAATTAAAAAAATAAACTGATGATGGTTCCTATTTACAAAATTGTGAACGAAATCAGGATATTTTAAAATGAATCAATCAACATTGTGAATTGTTTACAGCTATTTGAACAAATTAAAAATTGTTCATCACTTTGAACAAGTTCAAAAAGTGAACAAATCTAAAAAATTAGGACAATTCCTAATTATAAAATTGTAATCAAAATCAGTATATTTTAAAATTGTGAACCAATTCAATATTATTCATAGGATGGTGAACAAATTTAAAATCATTCACATCAATTTGAAAAAATAAAAATTGATCACATATTTTTGAAAACATTTTAAGTTGTTCACAGCTTTGTGAACAGATTTAAAAATTTTCACAACATTGTGAACAACTTCTAAATTGTTTGCTGCTATGTGAACAAATTTTAAAAAACAGGATGGATCGTTTTTACAAAATTGTGAACAAAATTAGGTTTTTTAAAATTATGGATCAATTCAAAATTGTTCATAGCATTGTGACAAATTTAAAATTGTTCACTACATTGTGAACACATTGTAAATTAATTTTTTTTTCATATCACTGTGAACAAGTTCAAAATGTGAACAAATCTAAAAAAATTAACAGGATGATTCTTAATTACAAAATTGTTATCAAAATTAGTATATATTTTAAAATTGTGAACCACTTCAATATTGTTCATAGTATTGTGAACAAATTTAAAATCATTAACAGCATTTTGAACAGGTTAAAAATTGTTCATAACATTTTAATTTGTTCACATATTTGTGAACAAATTTAATATTGTTTATATCACTGTGAACAAGTTCAAAATGAACCAATCGATTGTTAAAACTCAGGTTAATTGCATTCAATTTCTATGTTCAACCTGGAAAATGGTGATAACGATCTACCAACACCTCTCTTAGATCCATCGATCGCTGGAGAAGTGACTTTTTAAAAAATGTACAGTCGTAATTACCATTGGTTCATGCGGTGCGGTGTTGCTACAAATTTCCCTAGATCTGAGAAAAAATCTATGAAAGTGGCTTACTTCAAAATGTTCTAATTTGGTTTGTGTTTTAAGATGCGTAATCCATCAGAATTGTTGCGATTGCTGCATACGTCTGGACGGTTAGAGGAAGCAGTGGAATTGACTAACGAATATATTCTATCAGCGATGGGGTACGGTAAAGAATTTTTCGGATTTACGCAACCTCTGGCTCCGACTTCGCCAGCTTTTTGCCTTCCGGTGTACGCCATCCAGCGGCTGATAGACGAATTAAACATACAAAATGTCAAGAATGTTGAACGACCATTTATTCAAGTAGATGTTTATTTTCGTTTTCGTTTGTATTTTTTTTTAATATTAATTTAAACATTTTAGGAATACAATAATTTGAAGTCGCTGTTTACGAAATACTTGGAAACCGCAACCAGAGTGTCCAATCAGATGTGCCAGACTAAATTAAGTTCCGGTTCTTTAAAAACTAACGCTCCCATGATAGGTATAAGATAATCACTTGTTTTTTGTACTCAATAAATTTTTTTAAAGCACCGTTTTTTTATTTATTTCCCTATGAACATAATTACGAGACATTTTCACTCAATTTTAGAGGAATTAATAAAATTGGAAACAAACTGTTTTAAATTTCAAATTGTTCACAACCTCAAAATGTTAGTGTTACTTTAAAATTGTGGATGCATTAAAAACTACTCATAAAAATTGTTAGTACACAAATTATTCATATTGTGAACAAGTACAAAATAAAAATTAAAGTCAAGATATTTAAAAATTTGTTATTAAATTCAAATTATGCTAATAACCTATATGTTTCCAATTCCAAAGTTTTAACAAAATCAGTATATTTTTCGTTAAAATTGGCCATAGAATTATTGTGACAAATTTAAATTAAGTATGAACAATTAATTTTAAAATTGTGAACAATATCAAAATAATGAAGAATTTCAAAACATTTGGGAACAAATTTAAGTGTTCATGATATTTTGAACAAGTTCAAAATTGTTCACAGCATTGTGAACAAATTCAAAATTGTTCATATCATTGTAAACAAATCTTAATATTAAAAATTAGGCCATATAATAATTATGAACAAATTTAATTTATGAACCCTCTCTTTTGATAATTGTGGACGAATTCAGGATATTTCGAAATTGTTAATAGTATTTTGAACAAATTCAAAGGTGTTCTTCATTATTAAATAGAAAAGATAACACGACCCGTCTTGAAGTTTCAAGGCTTTTCCAGGGGCTGGTAAATGACATTGAAGTTCTACCGGTCGACCAAACTTCTTACGGAACACATATGCCAATCCTCGCGTCGTTGATGCTGGCGGAAGTACTATGAACCAGTGAGTAGTCCTTTGGAAGCGAGAGCAGATCTCGTTGTTGCTCGGTCATAACACCATATCTGGCTTTTCCAGTACCTCCATTTTCACCCATAAATTCTTCAAAGACAAGTTCCGGTGTTTCTTGAAGTTGGTTTACTTTTCCTTCATGGTCACCCTCAAATGGCGCCAGCCTGTTTTGATGCAGTACCTTCGGTTTACCGTTTTGGATCTTACTTATACGGTAAATTACATAATTTATTTTATTCTTGATTAGGTACGGACCTTCCTAAGACCTTTGAAGTTTCGCAAAATAACCCTTTTGTCTTTTTGGGTTATGGAGCCAGACTTTATCGCCTTCTTTGAAACATTTTTCTGTTGCTCGGGTATCGTATCGCTTCTTCATTCTGTCGCTAGCGATTTGAAAATGGGAGCAAACTAATTCATGTATATCGTCCATTCTCCTTCGTAACTGGATCACATAATCTTCACCAGCTACATCTTTTTGAAACCACTTTTGACAGATATTTGTCTTATTCATTCGCTCTACCATTCCATCGGATTGTGGGTGCAATGCTATGGTTCTGGTTTTCTTCATGCCCAGTCTGTCACAGATTTCACGGAAAAGTTGACTTTCAAAATGGTCACTGTGGATCTCCAAATTGACAGATAAATTCTTTTATCAATAGATCTGCAACAGTTGCAGCCTCTTGATTTGGAATGGCGTAGACTTCCACCCACCTTGTAGAATGGTCCATGACCATCAAAATGTATTTATTACCATCCTCGGTCGCGGGGAATGGTCCAGCAATATCTAAGGCGATCCTCTCAAATGGGCTACCAATGTTGTATTGCTTCATGGGAGCCTTCCTTTTTCGCTGAGGTCCATTACTCATAGCACAGCTGGTACATTTCTTACAACAGTCCTTTACATCATCGGAACTGTTTATCCAGTAAAACCTTCCCGAACTCTCTGGGGTGCTATTTTCAAAGTCGAGAGAATTCATTTCTCTCGAGAGAAATGTCATACGTCAACGTAAATCAGTATTTTTAGGGTCCTAAGGGCCAGTGTAAACTCACTGATTGTTTCTCACGGTTTATTTAGAGATAATTAATATCCTCCTAAGAATTTTAATCCTCGAGGCCTTTAAAAACAGCGTTTCCACATTGACGTATGACATTTCTGATGAGAATCTTGAGAGAAATGAGTACTCACACGGTTTGAAAATAGCCCCCCAGAAGGGTTTTCCTAACACCGAGATGTCCTCCTGATAGACTGTCGTGTAACTGACGGAGTGCTTCAGCTACTCTACTTCTTGGAATAACCAACTATCTTCTGTTCTCGAAACCATCATCATTTTCAAGTACTCTCTTTAATAAGCCATCTTCCAGGATAAAGGAGTTCCACTGAGCCAAATACGACTTAAGTACTGGAGAGAGATTAGATACCTCTTGCCAAGTAGGTTGACGATTTTCCTATTTCCATTCTCTTATCTTCTGTCAAACTGGATCGTTCTCTTGTTCTTCCTTAAGTTTGACAGGGACCCACTCATCGCTGACAACCGACGTTCTTCGTACTGTAACTTCTTTAACAGATGTGGCCAACCCTTTTCCAATCAGAGTTCCTTGACCAACAACTTCATTGCGCTTCGGAGGTTCCGTCATGATATTCTGAGGTCATGATAGGCGTCGTTGCTTTCTCTACAGTTCCTTGCAACCGCCTTACTCTTATGGTTTCACTATTTCCAGGCAACACCGTTCCGTCCTGTACAGCCACCGGCACGGTTTTTCGATTCGTAGTGTTCTTTGGGCGTTTGCGCGAACTACTTACTTTTCCCATTTCACCGCAATTCCAGCACCTAATAGTCTTCGGTTGCATCTCAATAAGGCTTTTTATCATGTGAAATAATTGGTCCAATTTATTTCCCTGTTCTTCTTCTTTTGCAATCCTTACTTCACTGTATCCACCAGAAGCCAGCGTAGCCGCTTCATATTCAAGAGCAGCGGACAAGACATCGACCAATGTTTTGTGACGGACTAAGCGTAGTGTTTTCTGCATCTCGTGATCACGGAGTCCATCAACAAATGTTTGGACTGCCAAACATTTCATCATGTTTTCCGAAGCTGACGGATAGGCAAATCGCACCAACCTGGCAATATCTAATTCAAATTCTTGAAGGCTCTCGTCATGTTTCTGTTTGCGATTCTCTTTTTGAGTTGCTCAAAATCATCTGTCTCTTCCACAGGTATAGTCTGAAGGACATCCAAAGCGTCTCCTCGAAGGGCGATGGTCAAATTTATTGCCTTCTCTCGTTCAAACCATTTGTTTGCTCTGGCAGCTGTTTCGAACTGCTTAAGGTAGTTCGTCCAAGACATCTTCCCGTCAAAAGTTGGGGCTTTAACACGAGGAGAGTTTACAGCTCCTATCTTCTTTTCCATCTCCGTTATTTTCTCCTCAACTGAAGACATTATTTTATTCTCAACGGAAGAAATCTTATCTTCCATAGAAGAAATTTCGCTTTTCAAAGAAGAGATATCAGAAGAGACTTTAGTTTCTAAAGAAGAGATTTCGTTTTTCATGGAAGACATATCAGACACCTTTTCTTCTAAGGAATAAATATCAGACAAAACATTACTTTCAAAGGAAGTAATGTCAGAAGAAACTTTAGTTTCTAAGGAGAAAATATCATTTCTAATAGAGGAAACATCAGCAGTAATTTCAGTTTTCATAGAAGCTATTTCGGTTTTCATATCGGAAGAAATTGAAAAAATTATAGAAGAAGCATCATCCGAAAATAGAAACGTTTCCGGATCCAAACTCTTACTTATTAATTCTTCTTTAAGCCGCTCTACTAGTTCTGCTTTCTTCCCTGTCGTCTCCAACTCACGATCTTCTAACTCCCGACGTAGCTCGATCACTTTTAAATCACACAGTCTTTTAGCCATTATTGTCCACTATTTATTTATACTATTCCATTTCTCGACACCAATGTGATGTTTGTTTATTTTAAACAACAGTTTATTTATTAATAATTTATTTAAACATTTATTTATAACAATACTATCTAATTTATATTTATTTCGAATTTCTTTGAATCGTTCATTATTTATATTCACCACTGTCTATCTACTAATGACTTTTTGTTGATCCTCCACCAATATTTATATAAAAATTGGTAATCCAGAATGCTCCTCCACCAAAACATCACATATAATCGGACAAGTTGAGCCTCAAAGGCCAAATAAGACAGAGAGGGACTTGGAAGATTAGATCATTACTGAATAATGAAATGACTCACATAACATTATCTTTTTTATTGCCTATTATTTCAACCTTCATTATTCCGTTATACATTTCCAGATGTTCGAATTAAAAAAAAATTGATGTTTCCAACACAAATAATAATTAAAATATTATTAATAATAATAATAATTATTATTATTATTTACTATTACTAGATGTACCTACTTAAATAATGAAAGTTTATAAAATATGTGCATAATTTAAAGAATTTTGAAGGTATGTATCAAATTTATTATTTATATTAATTGCAAACCCCGTAAAAATTATGCGACACTGGTAATAGTGTCCAGGCATTTCCCCTCATAACTAAACAAACTCTATTGAATGCGAACTCTATGAAATATATATATGCTTGAAGGTTTATTCCAAATTATTAGAAACTCAGTAAATTGGCCCCCGCTTTGGGAAGGTTCTGGATCCACCCCTGAACCTATGTAACTGTATGACATCCATCCCTTTTCATTTTTTTCTTCTTATCTTGACTAAAAACTATCTGTTCCTAGACAGCCTTTTTTATAAGTTAAGTGTTTATAATTTATTGTCAAAACCACATCTGTTTATATTACAAACTCATAATAATATATCAAAGCATGCGGTCTAGACACATTTAATATAAGAACTTGTTGAAAACAGAATGTCGGTTTTACACTTTATACAAAAAGTAATTCAGGATTTACTAATTCACGTGGAGGTCTGTCTAACCGAGAACGATAATGTGGGATACACTTACTTGTAATTATGTAACCAAATAAGGGATATCGAATTTTTGTTTCGAGTACTGTGTAGGCTGAACCAGACCTACAAGGTTGATGCTTATTCTTACGAATCAACACTTTTACAGTACCTATTTGTTTACTTAGTCATTGTCGTTGTTATTCATGCTTAGAAAAGTTGTTACACCTACAGTATGAAGTTATCCAATGCAACTATAGGGCATACGACTGACATACTTTTATTCTAAGTAGTTTATATACAGGAGGTTAGAAAACCCTAAAAAAATTGTCTTAAGAAATTCTATCGAAAAAATTAGAAACAAAAAGAGGGTGGCGTATTTGAAATTGTACCTAACACAAATTCCTGAGGCTAAAATGTATAAAAGTTATTATTTTTTAAGGTTTAGGTAATGGAAAGTAACATACAAGTGTACTTTGGTGATCGATCTAGGCTGGCTTTTCCAGTATGACAAATGTAATTTTCAGACAACTTTTTATTTAATATCGCTACTTTTCGAAAAGACCGTCACAACTCGAATAAAAACATTTTTACGTTTTTACCGACATTCAACACACGATTTAACGATCTATTACGAAAAAAAATCGATACAATTTAAATACCAAAAATAACCACTGGCACTTATGTCGCGTAATATCACTACTCTGAATTTCGCTTCCTCTAACATACAAAACTGACTCATTTCAGTCGTACCGTGGCAACTCCATTGTTATTTGCTTAAGAGTGTCACAAAACGAAAAATGTTCAAAGATTAAATTAAATAAGAAAGCTCAACCTGTAACTAGTAGTTGTCGGAGGATACCTGATGCTTTAAAACCACGACTTAAAGAGGCTCTAATAGATCTTGAAAAAAGATAAATAATATCTAAAGTTATATAGTTATAGTGGAAAAACCATCAGGGGCCGTACGAATATGTTCAGATCCAGTTCATTTAAATAAGTGGATATGTTTAAACCAATTTCCTATTCCTACAATTGAAGAGTTGTCACTTAAACTAAAAGACAAAAAGTTTTTTACTGTGCTTGATTTAAAGGAAAGGTTCTATCAAGTTCCCCTTGACTCAAAAAGTAAAAAAACTATGTACATTCAAACACCGTTTGGAAAATTTTGCTTTAATTGGTTTAAATGTATATTTCAACGCATGAATGAGAAAAAGTTTGGTGATTTAAATCACTTAAGTGCATCAACAGAAGAAGAGTATAATAAAATACTTAAAGAGGTAATGAAAAGGGCAGAAACGTTTGGAATAAAATTTAATAAAAAATAAAATTCAATATAAAGTTTCCGAAGTTAGTTATCTGATCAGGTCTTCTCAGCTGAGGGTGTTAAACCCGACACTGAATATGTCTCTCAAGAAACCTGAAAACAAAAAAGAGTCATTAAGAATATTAAGTATGTTTAATTATTTGTCTAAATACTTACCAAATCTTTCTGAATTATTGTCGCCCTTACGTAATTTGATTAAAGGCAATGTAGAATGGAACTGGACAACAGATCATTCGATAGTTTTCACAACAAATTGGTCGCAGTTCACAAAAAACAGATATTTGCAAAAAATAAGTTCCCGATTACAAAGATTTAAAATTGCTTAAATACAATTTTGGAAGTTCAACACTTACCTGGCCAATACATATATATATATAGCAGATCTCCTGTCAAGATCTTTTCTAAATACTCCAGTCAGAGATGATAAAGAAATGAAAGAAATTGTTCACTCTTTTGAGCTTCATCTACCTATACCTAAGGCCAGAATACATGAGATCAAAGCTGCTACAAACAAGGATCCAGCCTTACTGTTTGTAAAAAGGTTTTGTCAAACAGAATGGCCAAATAAAAATGCAATTGTAGAGTCCGATATAAAATTATTTTATAAAATTAAAGATTATATACATACTAGTAATGATTTAGTATTTCATAACTTTAAATTAGTTATTCCTAAATATTTAAGAAAATAAATACTAAATGTTGGACATTTTGGCATTGAAAAGTCCAAGGCTAGAGCCAGAAAAATATTTTACTGGCCTGGTTTATCTCAAAATGTACAAAACTTTGTATAAAAATGTAAAACATGTCTCAAGTATAGTCGAAATATCCCTAAGGAACCACTTATTCAGCATGAAAGGTCAAATATTCCCTTTGAAAAAGTGGGTGCTGATATATTAACTTATGCCGGGCGCGATTATTTAACTTTAGTTGGTTACTTTAGCAATTGGGTAGAACTTATTCCTTTAAAATATAGAAGTCATTGACAGGCTTAAAGTTGTATTCTCGACTCATGGCATACCTTCTAAATTTATGTCAGATAATCAACCATCTAATAGTAAAAAAATTGAAGATTTTGCTAAAAGTTGGGAAATAAATGTAAATATAATCAGATTGCCTAATATTTTTTATTGCCATTGAAAGATTTAACCTGGTATATTATACCTATCTAAAACACTGATAAATTTTTACCTACAACTCTACTGTCATTGTGAACCCCCAATATTTTGTTCACAAGCCGCTACTGGGAAGGAAAATATAGATATCTTCAAATAACTACTTTAAAATGTATTTTTTCGCAATTAAATGGCGTGACATTTTGTTGGAATAAATTGTTTGTCTAATATCTACAAAAAAAAAACGAATTTGTTCTTATTTTTATTCTTATTTTTATGTATTTGAATCTAAATTGTGTTTCAAAATCTATGTGAGGAATTTGTTTTTGATTTTAGTGCTGTTGTAAGGAAAATGGAGCATTTTAATTAGATATAAAGGTAATTTTTTGTATATGCATGTATGACAACACCGCATCTGTTCTCTGTTTCATTTTCGTCTGGTCGCCCTGTATATTATTCTCTATATTCTGATCTAAATTCTTGATATACGTTTTCTTTTCCTTTTTTTTTTTCGTAAATAGATATATGGGTATTAAATTACAACATTGTTAACTGTATTTATTTCATACTGGAACGGAAATCGTTCAGCCAGTCTACTCTACAGCTACCGGCGTTTCCCCCTTCATTTCCGCCTCGCTATGATTTTGTAATCGTAATCCAATTCATCAGCTTTCTTTCTCTAATTTCGCCTTAGCGTTTCTTTTCAAACTGCATCGGCCCAACCGTGAAGCCCGCCAATACTCGTTCAAAAAAGAGTTGGACACTACTTTATATAAAATAACATTAAAACATTTTATGTGTGTTTGTTGTATATTCTATAGTATTTCTAATCAATAATTGGCGAAGAAAAACAATTGAAGAAAAAATTAGCCCCACGTTGGGCGCCAAGCTGTAACATATAGCACGTTACTAGCGACAATTGGGATATTAACCTCGAATAGCTCTAGTCGAAGGTGGTTGTGGTCCTATAAATTTAAAGATTTTAAAAGGGCGCCAGTATAATAACCAGCCACCAAATCATCTAATTGGCTATATATAGAATAAAGGTCAAATAAATACCACTAAGGACCGATTCCACCGTTGTGTTAAACGAAGTTTAAAATGACATTTTTACATTAACAATGTCATTTTAATCTCCGTTTAACGCAACGGTGGAATCGACCCTAAGCAAAACAAGCTTGAATAAAACTAAACATTTTAGTTGGCTTTTCTTTAATTCAAATGAAGATGATTATATACCTATTTCAGTATATTATTATCAACAACCACCCAGACAGCACACCAAATCCTTTGGATATCTACTGAACATCCCAATATCCACTGAATGTCCAGTCCATGGTGGATATCTATTTTATATCCATGAAATGTAATTTATAGACATGCAAATGTCCATAAATAATAGTAATTATATAGCAAATTATTAAAAAATTACGCCATTGTGCTCGCCATTGTGGCTAATAGTACCGTTCAGATATTTAAAATTAATTTTTTTAAGGTGTATTCAATATCCCATGGACATCCACTATAAATATAAATATATCAAAGTCTAAGCGCGGACGCAAACCATCGTGGATATCTACTAGATGTAATTTTTGATTTTGCTTCCTAAGTATAGATGGCGATACCACTTTCGTATCTACTCATGCTCAACCCACCGTAAATGAGTTCGATCGAATTTTTTTTTCACAATCAGACTCTATTAGAGACTGGAGTCGAGAATTTCCATTTATTGCTGAAGAGTCCTAATAAGGATGACTTTCTCCTTAGTGCCCTCATAGTGGGCAAAATCAAAGGCAGATTGTTGGAAATATTTTTTACCTCTATTTTCTTTCGACGTTATTCAATAATCATTGGTTACTTATGAACCTCTACTAAAGATACCTATAAAATATTTTGCTGAATATCTGAATTCTATATCCATATTGGATATCCACAAAATATATTCTGTGGATATCTCTGGGATTTCTTGTATTGTCTGGAAGATACTCATTAGATATTTTGTTGAATAATCCATAGGATATCTTCTATATTCTGGATATAGACGGACATTTGAATATCCATATTAGATCCACGGAATATTTCTGATATCCTGTGGATATATTGGATATCCACAAAAGATATTCTGTGGATATCTCTGGGATTTGGTGTGTTGTCTGGGTTGCTACAATTTAATTAAAACTTTTGATCGATTCAGGCAAATTATAACTAATAAAAAGGATCGGTCCCAGGATAGATCCTCGAGGAACACCCATTCTATTTACTAATAGATAAGAAATGAAGGTTCTGTCATTATTGTGATTTTTATGTTGAATTTTGACTATAAAAATACCAACTCCGTCCCTGTTTCAACCCTACATAGCGAAAAGTACCAGCCCACGGGTAACAGTACCACCTCTCGAGTGCTGCTCCGTTGCTCGAGATATTCCAATACGAATTTGATTCCCATGGTAAGAGCAGCTCCGAGCTTGACCTTGGTTGAATTATAATGTTACAGCGACTGGATCGCGTTGTGGTAACCGCGACCCAGCGATCTTTTAAAAAGGTAAATGGTCGATAGTTTTCTTCGGGTACCCACGATTTCTTTATTGTCAGTGTCTTCATTCTCTTCCGACGAAGATAAAAATTACGACGCAGATTTATCGGCGGTAAAAGTGAACTCGTTTGTTAACCAACAATAACAACCGTTTCTTTTTTTATCGAGAAGATTCTGACGAAACGCAGATGTAAACATAAACAATGTAGTTTTCGTGATAGTTTTCGGGTTGTTTTTGAAGAACGAGGTGAAATATTAGAAGAAGAAAGGTTGGTGGTATTATTCTTTAAATAAATTGTCATGTATCTTTGAGTTTTGCTCCAAGTTTCATTCACAATAAGTCAGATTGTTTTGATTTTAGATAAGTATTGTGTGAATGCGTATAATAGAATAATGCAGTATTTGAGGGAGGTTTTAGGCAACATTAAAGACGTCTTTGTGTATCGGTGGTTGTATAATTATTAATGCCCTTTTTTTATTACCCCTTTTAGGTATTTCTCTAGTCACACTGGTCATTGCAAATAAGCAATAAATCATTTTTAACTACGTAAGCAAGCTATGATGAAGTTTCTGTTTGGTTTGATGAATAATCAAAATACATCAAATAATTTATTAGCATTTATACCTTTCAATGTTCCTCCAAAACGCACGCGCTCCACTCTTTTGTTTAACTTAAAAATATTGACGCGCTGCTCTCCACTTTACTCTATTCTCTCCTTAGCTAATAATGTTAATGTTATGCATACTATAGATTGGAATATGTCATTTAATCAGTATTGGAAAGTTGTATTAAATTATTTTAAAAATTATGGGATTTAAACTATCATAATTATTAACAATCAACATTGGGTTGATCATTATTTCACAGAACTTGGTGTAGAATTTGTCAACTTCGCCGTTCATATTATATTATATTTTAGTTTAGTTACTTGTCGTGTAATAATATTAATTTAATTATTGTAACAGTTTTTAGCAATAATATCCATGTAATAAGGCTAAAAGCCTGTTTGGGTTGTGAAATAAATAAATAAATAAATAAATACTGTTACAAAATTATTTCTTTTTAATAGTAATAGTAATTAGTAGTAACAGTAATTTTAAAAGATACCATAATACTTTACTTTGCTGGTAGTTAAATAAAAATGAAAACCTCATTTCTATTTTCGTGCTACAACAACGATAATATTTTTATAAAATATATAAAATTAACCCTTTCTATCCCGAGCCTTAATATACATCTTGGTCCCTCAGTCCCAGAGGTTTTTTTATGCTACAATATGAGAACAAATATATACGGCAATGGGTCCGCATGACCTGTCTTAGGTGCCAACATTTTGCGGCTTTGGGATCAATAATCTAACATTTTCGGACATATTTCTAGGGCATTGGGATCCCAATGGGTCTAAAATATTATAAGTAGGGCATATTTTCGGCTTTGGTGAATTGAGACCATTCCACCTTGAACGTATATATATATGGCGGCTGGGACTACAGACCCACTTTTTAAAAAACATATATATGCGGCGTTGGGACAGAAAGGGTTAATAATATAAAATAAAAAATAAAAAATAATATTTATGAACGAAAGAACGTCAGTAATCTTTCAGATTATGACAAAATATGGATGGATTAAGGAATTGTTTTAATTTTGTGAATGGTAAACTTAGAATCGACAAGATTCGAAGTCAATCACATCCACAATTTCGACTGCCGCAGCAATATGCTTCGGTGGCCCAATTGGTAGGGGGCGGATCTAGTCGGAAGGTTTCAGGTTCAATTTCTGGTTGGTGCATTTATTTTCTCTTTTGTTTCCAAAATTGGATTGGATTGAAGTTGTTCGCCTATTTAAAGAAAAAATCCCGTTTTGACGCATATATCTCAAGAGACAGATGTCTAAAGAAGTTAAAAAGAAATTTGCTGGTTACCAAAATCTAATTAACAAACGTAAACCGGAGATTTTGGATAAGAACATTACACAGTTTTTTAAAGAATCCATTTCTTCTAATTCAAAGGCTTTGGTAACAAATAATAAGGAACTATCAACAAGACGAAAATGTTTTGAATCATACTTCACTCGAATTTTGCCAAATAATGACAAAATAAAAATTTTGCGTTTTGTTTTAGTAGCAGAATATTTAACACTAACACTGCAAATGCCCAATTGACTAATAAAAATGACTACAATGATTAACAACATTTTTGAGTCAACATTTAAATATTCACGAAAAAAGTAAAATGCATTTCAAAAATCTTAAGACATGGTCTGACTATCAAACTAGATTTAAAACAAACAATACGATTTAGTGAGAATTCTGTTATTCAATTTTTAGCTAAACAAAATCTGGTCTTCCGCCTTCGGCGGTCAAAATATGATGTTTTAAAATTATAATGGTAATTTCTTGAAATGTGTGTGAAAATGATTGCAAAGTTCGATCCTATTATTACTAAACAAAGAGGGCACATATGCAGAGCAAGAAAATGAATCATTATCTTGCAAACCAAATTCAAAATGAAATGATTGAAATAATAGGCAATAATTGAAGAGAAAATATTTTAAATATGGTCAAACATTTGCAATAATTTTCTATTTATTCTTGATTGCACTCCGGATATGAGTCATTAAGAACAAATTTCTGTCGCTATCAGGTTCGTAAATTTACAATCAACATCATTGGAAATTGTTGTTGAGGAACGTTCCTCCAATAGAAGAACAACAGCTGAGGGTTTAAAAACATTTCTACTAAATGCTTTAAAAAAATAAAGGGTAAGATTACAAAACGTCTGTAACTTTGCAGATCTGCAAATATGGCGGATTTACAGATACAAATATCAAGTTTTAGTATTCCAAAAAATATCTGCAAATTCGCAATATTTATTGTAGTTTATTACCCCCAACAACACTAAACCCAAATCCACCTTTAAGGGTGAGAATATAGAAGCTCTGCAAATCGTACTTGCAACTGCAAATATCAGTTGCAGTTGCAAAATAGAAACATGGTATTACAGAAACGTGTTTTCACTTATTTTTGCGTCTGCAAATTACTATAACTTTGCAGGAAATTAGAAAATCCCACAAACTTGCAGATTGTCAATTTTTACTTTACTTTTTTTTAATAAGCATGAAGTCTTCTGTTCCTTTTGATTGAATTCAGTTCGTGGTGTCAGATTATCGAGTTTTTAAACATCTGTATCTGTAACGTGTGGATGGGTGGGTTACCCCACGGCACTTAGGCCTCATTAGGCCCATTGTCCATCCTTTTGAGATGATAGGCACCTCCTAGCTCGTGAGCCAGCCTACAGATTTAATGTAGTTGATAACGTTACCAAGAGGTGCTTCTCTTATATCGGCCGATGTTAGCCGATACTCGCCGAATTCAAATCTTCTAATAAATTAGAGCGTCGAGCAATCGTGAAGGATATGCTCGATGGTCTCATTTTCTTGTTCGCACCCTCTGCAGAGTGTGCGGATTCTGACAGCCCCATAATATGGAGATGCTTTCGTACTTGGCAATGACCCGGCAGAATGCCTGTGACTAGGCGCAGATTCTGTCTAGTCATAGTCAAGTATTTGTTTGCTGCAGTATTGCCAGGATAACTTAAGAGCTTCCTGGCAACTCTGAAGTTTCTTGTTTCATCCCATCTTTCCTTGAATTTCACAAGGAAAGGTTCTTTAATTAGGTCTGTCACTACAGATTTTGTCAGGTCAACAGAAGGGCCAGGTCCAAAAAGTATTTGGTTGGCTGCTTTCTTGGCTAGTGAATCAGCAAGACGGTTACCTTTCGATGTGGCGTGACCTTTAATCCATATTAAGGTGACCACATTGTTGATGGATACTTCGGCCGACATTCTAGTACTAACCCTGGATAAATTCGTGGTCTGTTCAGGGTGAGTAGTGCTTGTCTGCTATCTGTATAGATAAGCATGTTCCTTTCAGTGATATTGTTTCTGGTTATTTCTTTTGCTGCTATGAGAATCATCGTTAGCTCCGTTAGAACTACACTGGCTCACAGCCCATTTTATGATTAGGTTTAAGAATATGAAGTATATTCCACATCCTGAGCCTTGTTTTGTTTTAGAACCGTCGGTGTAGATGTGAATCATACTTGCCACTTCCAGCTCTTCTATTTGTTCTATTATAACTTTATATGGCTTATGAAAGATATATTTCGGTGAGATGGAGTCCATGTTCGCTTGAAGCAGTGGGAGCGTATCGAGCGCCTCCTGCCAAAAGTGACGTCTCGCCTCACCAGAGCCTACATCAGGTTCTATTCTGACCGTGCGTAGGCATGTCATTGTCGTCAGATGTAAATATCAAGGGGAGTGAGACTAAGAATGACTTCCATGGCTCTAGTCGGTGTTGTTTTCATTGCTCCTGTTGTGTTGAAACATGCTGTTCTTTAAATTTGTTTTAGTTTACGGATACCTGTTAATTTTTGGGTTTTCAGTACCCAGACAACTGCACCGTATATTAGCATAGGTCTTATGATAGCCGTGTAAGTCTACGCGACGACTCTGAGGGAAAAACCCCAAGTGCGCCCCGCCCCACGGTTCGGCGGCATTGTTCATAAGCAATGTATGCTCTTTTAACTCTGTTTTCTAAATGCGAGTTCCATGTTAACTTGCTGTCAAAAGTGAGACCTAGGTACTTTACCTCTATTGCAAAGTTTAGTTTTATGTTTAGGAGTTTTAAAGGTTTTAATTCAATTTTCATTGCTTTCTTTGTGAAAAGGACCATTTCTGTCTTTAAACATAGCAATGGATTTGGGTTTAGTGTTATTGAGGGGTAATAAACCACAATAAATATTGCGAATTTGCAGATATTTTTTGAAATACGAAAACTTGATATAGTTCTTCCATTATCAATTGCAGATCATAAAAACTCGTTCGGAACCTTTACCGACAATTTTGTTTGATCTGCCATAGGCGTAGATACCTAGGCGTTTGGTTTAAACAGGGTACCAGACGTGAACTGAACCCTTTTTGTACCCCATTCGTTCTTTTTCTGGAAAACGAAATATCAAAGAAAAAACCATAAAGGAAAATAAATTCTTTGCAAATAAAACAAAAGAAAAAAAAACAATTCAATTCTAAAGTATCTTTATAAATAATCATGGCAGTCTGAATCCTCTGAACTAGAGTCATCATTTGGTTGAATTATGATGGGTTGTAAAGAGGGTAATACTACATACTCATCTTCTTCTTTGATAACATGTTCAACACAGTTTTTCCAAAGCTCTTGGCGGTCTGCTGCTAGAACTTTCTTTACGAG